TTACTTTAAATTTTCAGAACAGGGATTTGCTTTTTTAACTTGTTTGTGGGGGAAAAACCAAACTTATTCTGCATTAAAATCTATGCAATTTCTTGCTGCTTCCTACTCTCCTTATTTCAAGAACAGCTTTGGGGCTGCTCCTTGTTTTTCTCATTTCAGCCTGCAATTCCTTCCAGGGACTTAGAGATTATCTAATCTCAACTTGCCAAACAACAACTTCTGTTCATTGCTCTTGTTTCACCATCTGGCATGATTGAGAAGTGGACTGAGAAATATTCATCACTATTTTCTCCACTGGCAGATAGTGAAGCGCCTAAATTTGTTGCTGGAGAGGATTTGGAATTACCATCCTTAAGTATTTTCAAGAGGTGCCTAAGCAAAGGCATAGCTGCTCCCATATGGTGTTTGACAGGCTGCAAGCAGAAAGTTGGACTACAGATCTGCTCTTGACCTCTTGAAGATTCTGTTTTATTGCTATGACCTCCAAGAAATTTGCTCCCTTCCCTGTTATCCATATGTGAAAGAGGGGCAGAAGTGGAAAAATTAATTCCAGAGAAGGAGCATGAGACAACATACCAAAGTTAAAATGTAACGGGCAGAATTGCAAGGTCAAGCAGTTTTGGCTTCTTCCTTTCTGAGCAGGGACACATAACTTTGGACTCTTAGCACAGACTGACACACATTAGGTTATTTTGCAATATTAAACACAGTGCTATTAGCTGGGAATACCCACAGACAGTGGTGATAGTTTATGCCAATATTATGCTATAATGTTAAAAAACCCAACAAAAATAACAATGATGTGCGTGGAACTTAACAAATCGGATTACTTCCTTGGGAAACGAGCTTTACCACACTTGTTTTCCAAACTTGCTTTTCCATCACCTCTGTGAGCTGCAGAAATTTCCCAACTGGCTGCAGTAAAATTCCAAAATTCATAAGAAAATTAACATCCAGCCTTTAGGACAGCTCTAAATCTGTAGCAAATAAATTATAGAATTTGGAAAACATTTGGTTTTCATATGATGCAATGTAGAAATTATAAACAAAAATTACTTACTGCATATTAGGATTCCTGTGAATGTGAAATTTATGCATATTGTTTTCTAGAACTAATCACTTGTTATGTAACAAGCGTTAATTCTGTTCTTATGGAAGCTGACCTAAAACCATGAGAAAACATGGAATTGACTTTCAGATCTACAATTTTAACCTGACTTTGGAGATGTGACAAACCTGAGAAGCAGCTTAGTGAAATGCTGTCATATAGGAACTTTCCTGAAACTAGGGGGACAGGCACAGCTATGTGGGTGCAGAAAGAACCCAAAGCCAGGTCACAAAGGCAGGTCTGCCTGCCTGACTTTGAATATCCCATGACATCATGCTTTTGCTGCATGCCTCTAGGGTATATACAGACACAAAATAATTAGGCAGACATTCACCTTGCAGCTTCAAGGAGAGAATTCCCCACCCAAACTGGCTACAATATATGTCTGAATGCAGATAGATCACCTTTATTCATATTATTTACTGGTTATATACTGGTTACCATAGCTGCAGCACACACTGACCTCAAGAATAAACATTCCTTCCTGACTTGGCAGCTAAATCCCACAGAGCAAATGAATGGTACTTCACAAACACTAAAAACAGATGATACCCCAGTCTCCTGAAGTCACAGAGCTTGCAGGCTGGTGAGGTGAAAGGACACTAAAATTGCAGGGAAAAGCCCCCTAGAGCCTTTCTCTAAAACACTCACTCCTTCACAGGATTCTGCTGCTTTTGACTCCAGGTTTCTGGCCAAACTCCACACACCAGATAAAATTAAAGGATAAGCTCACCAAAACTGTCGCAGCAGCTGCTTGCTGGTCCCTGCTACTTTTGCAATACTGATGAAATTCCTCCTGTTAAACAGCATCTTCTGTCTGCATTAAGACTTCTCCTAACCCACAAATAAAGTTATGAGAAAGGAAGGTGTAGGAAGCAGAGAGTGAGCTGTGCTGCTGTGCAAATGAGGGAAAACCAAGAACCAAGGTCCTTGTTTTGGCTGTCTCAGCCAGGGCTGGGCCAGGCTGGGGCTGACCCTGAACCTTTTCTTTGGTCAAACCCTACAGGTACAGAGATTTCTCCCAGGGCCCATTGCACCACTTGCAGTTTGTGTTCTTCTCTGTGAGCTCATCATGTCATATCACACTTGTGTCAATACTATTTCATAGCTATTTGGGGTTAAATATTTGTACAGGAGCATGTGCTGATGGAAAAAGGCAAAAGAAGACTTGCAGGATCAGCATGAGCAGGGGATGGGACTGTGGCCATTGGGGCTTTAGCACAGCCCAGGCAGGGACTGCTGGCCCCGAGCTGAGCCTAAATGAGGGTTCTGAGTCCTTGGCTGAGGAACTGGGCAGGACATAAAGACTTATTCATGCTTTTGGGGCCCTGACAATAATGAAGTAGTCTGCGTTAAAGAAATCTACATTTTCCTGGAGGTTTTGTTGGCTTTTTTTTTCCTTGGGTTTTTTCCCTGTTTTTTGGGGTTCTGTTTTTTGGGTTTTTTTCTCTTTGTTTTTTGTTTGTTTGTTTGTTTGTTTGTTTTCTGTTGTTGTTTCATTTTTATTTTGGACCAAGTTTTCAATTATGCTGTGGTAGTGTTCAACAGTGTGGGCCCAGAAAGTGTAATTCTGCAGCCTGCCTACCTCCTTAGGCTAAACTGCTTGCTGTATAATCTGAAGTAGGTCAGTTGCTAAATACTAAAGTGATTTAATTTAAGTTTCTACCTTCAAATATAATTGTCAGATAAGATTTTATGTCACCTGCACTGTAGGTGGTTTTGAAATATGACCATTACTTTCTCATTTCTTCCTCCCTGTAAAGAGAGACTCACTAGGGTAAATCAAGGTGATGGCATATCTGTCAGAGAGGGTGATACCTTGAAATTACAATGCAAGGAACTTATAATTAAAACATACAAGAGAGAAGTTTGACTTCTGGAAAGACAGACAGCTGTGAAAACATCACGCAGGGTGATAGCTCCTGGTGGGATTTGCTCATGCTGAACCAACCCTGAGATATTTGGGAAATGCAGCAGTTGCCAGGGGAAATGTCAAACAGAAGTAAAATCCTAGAGAAATGAGTAGTGAGGGAAGAAAGGGAAGAAAGAGAAGAAAGGGAAGAAAGAGAAAAATGTCAGGCCAGTTTCCCTCTTGGTTGTCCTCTGGCAAATGACTCCCTTGACTTTCAAGCCCAGCCCCTGGGACTGAGCTTGTGCCATTAGTGATGCCCAGGAGAAAAGACAGCAGACAAAGCAAATGTGGCCAAGGTACCCAGGGCTCCAATGCCACCCTGCAGTCTCCCAGGGAGGGGACAGTGCTGATGCCTGTCAGGTCACACCTTGGACTGGGTCTGGCTGAGCTGGGCTCGTTTTCCCACAGCAGCCCTGCCAATGCTGGGCTCTGCACTGGCAGCTGGAAAGGTGCTGATGCCACCCCAAGAGTTTTGGGGACTGCTGAACAGCGCTGCCACAGCACCAATGCTGTCCCTCCAAATTCTCATCTGTCTGTAGGTTGGGGGTGGACAAGCTCTTGGGAGGGGACACAGCTAGGACAGCTGACCCAAATTAATCAAAGGGATATTTTATATCATGTAATGCCAGCTCAGATGGAAAAGCTAAAGAAGGGAGGCAGAAGGGGGAACATTCCTTATTTTTCAATATGTGCCTTCTGGAGCAAAGATGAGGTGCTTAAGTCCTGCTTCCTGGTAATTGTCTGGACATAACTTGCTGATGGGAAGAAGAGAAAAAATTCTTTGTTTTTTTTTATTTTGCTTTTGTGCATGTAACATTTCATTTTTGCTTTAGGAAACTGCCTTCTCTCAACCTATGCTTCCTGTCTTCTCTCCTCTGTCCAGCTGAGAAGGGGTAGAGATGAAGTGTCTTGGTGGGCACCTGGTGTCCAGTGAAGGCCAATCCACCACACCCCTGTACAGAGGCTGCCTGACCCCAATTCCCACATGGACCAATTTCATAGGAAGCTCCTGTGAATGAGTGTCACCTAAGAGGAAGGGGACAACCAAGATTTACAGATGCCTGCAGTTGAAAAGGAACAGCAAATGCCAGAGGGTCCAAAACAACTTAAAAACTTTTATTACTAAATTATACATGTTAATTGGTATAAGTTAGCTCCTTATCTCCTAGCAGCAAGAGAAATAAAAGAATAATTTTAAAAAAAAGTGGTAAGAGAGAAAGGGAGATCATCGGTATTGATACAGGTATCCATCTGGCCAACAAGAGGTCCAGGGTCCTCAGGGCACTGCCTGGGCACTGTGGGGGTCAATTTCATGGAGAAGCTTTCCCTGGGAGCTCAGAGCCCTGTGCTGGGCCTGATGCCATCCCACTGCCGGCTGCTCAGAGAGGTGCTGGAGCCACCATCCCTAAAGGTGTTTATGGAAAGACTGGGTGTGGCACTGAGTGCCAAGGTGCCAAGGTGGCTGGTGATCCCAGAGGTTGTTTCCAGCACAGCTGATCCTGTTATGCTGTGCCCACAGCCCTGTGCCCTGCCTTTCCCTATTCCCAGCACAGCCCATCCTATGGCAATGCCGTACCCACAGCCCTGTGCCAGGCCTTTCCCTCCACCCAGCACAGCCCATCCTGCAATGCCATGCCCACAGCCCTGTGCCAGGCCCAGCACAGCCCATCCTGTGGTGATGCCGTTCCCACAGCCCTGTGCCAAGCCTTTCTCTATTCCCAGCACAGCCCATCCTGTGGCGATGCCATGCCCAGAGCCCGGTGCCAGGCCTTTCCCTATTCCCAGCACAGCCCATCCTGCAATGCCGTGCCCACAGCCCTGTGCCAGGCCCAGCACAGCCCATCCTGTGGCGATGCCATGCCCAGAGCCTTGTGCCGGGCCTTTCCCCGCGCCCGCCCTCAGGGCCCGGCCGGGCCCTGTGCCGCCCCCGCCGGCCGCCAGGCGGCGCTGCCCGCGGCCCGGCGCCCCCGGCCCGGCGGGGCTTCCTCCCGGCCGCCATGGCCGCGCCCGCCGCGGGGACAGAGCTGCCCGTGCCCGGTGAGTGCGGCCGCTCCTGGAGGCACCGGGGGGACAGCGCGTCTGCCTGTGCCCGCCCTGCCCGTCTCTTCCCTGCAGGGCTCCCCCGGCTCCGGGCCCCGCGCCGGGCTGGTGCCTCACGGTGTCCGGGGAGAAACGCGTTCGCTGCCGGCAGAGCTCGAACGGGGCAGCCCCGTCAGCGGCAGGGCCGGGGGGCAGCGCCGCACTCGGGGGTGCGCGGGTAATTCGGAGCATTAATGGTTGGTTTGTGTCGCGGTTTGGCCCAGAGTAATGTTCAAATGTCGCCTCGTTGCTGGGATAACAAACGCCTCGTGTATATCCTGTGTGATTTAATTTACCGAGTTGGTGGGGTTCAGTTTCCAAAGTTACCGAGTTAATGGGGTTCAGTGGCAGCGCTGAAGCGCAGAATGGGCCAGGCTGGAAGGGACCGCCGCGGCTTGTCTGGTCCCAGCTCCCTGCTCCAGCAGGGTCATCCCACAGCTCATGGCACAGGATTGTGTCCAGACCCTTCTGGGGTATATCCAGTGAGGAAGACTCCTCACCACGCACAGTCACTGCACAGGAAAGAATTTCTTTCTCTTGTTCACATGGAACTTCCCGAGCGTCAGTTTCTGCCCACTGCCTCTTGGCCTATTGCTCAGCATCACCGAACAGAGCCTGGCTGCATCTTCTTGGCACCCCTTGGGCTCAGATATTTATACACATTAGGTGTGTATAAATACACATTAAGGTTCCCTGTAAACAATCTCTTCTCGAGGCTGAACAGGCCCAAATCCCTCAGCCTTTCCTTGTAAGAGAGATGCTCCAGTCCCCCAAACATCCTTATTGCCCCTCCCTGGACCCACTTTGTGAGCTCCATGTCTCACTTGTACTGAGGAGCCCAGAACAGGGCACAGTAGTTTTGTCCAGTTGTGAAATATTGTGGCTTAGTCAAATGAATGAGATACAAAAGGCATTGGAAAATGTATCAGCTTTTTGTATGCGTTGAATAAAGAATATAAAATGCTTTCATGTTAACCCTTCTGAAGGGGAAAGAAATGAACCAGAGAGCTCTCTACCTGCTGAAGAGATTGCTAAGAAAGTTCAGAAGTTCATGGCTGTCTGGCTGGACATGAAAACTTCAAACAGAGTTTTCAGATGCTGTTTAGCTTGTCTGTAGTTGCAGGTGTGTCTAGGTAAAATAAGGAAAAAGCTCAACTTCTTCTTTAAAAAGGCTTGAGTTTGTCTGCACAAAGCTTGTTGAGCAAGTGAAAGTGAAAACCACATCTAGTGAGGCAATAAGCGCAATTTATACATGTCTACCCCATCTGATACATAAAATAACATCTTTGGAAATAGGGAAAGCTTTTGCATTAAATAATTTTTTTTTAAATGCAAATCAAATATACAGTTTAAGAAAGAACTTTTAGGTTTTGAAGCTGGGGTGCATATTGTTGATGAGATTGTTTTCATTGAAAGTTAAAGCACTATGTTGTCTCAATGTCATTTTCAGAAACAGTCTACTGTTATTGTGTGTACTTCCTAATGTGTTACATGCTAACAAAATTTACAAGGAAAAGGTTTGGTTTATTCTTGGTTTTGTTTTTAAAAACATCTCTATTTTATAGCACAGGCTTTGACATTTTAAAATAGGAAGTCTAATTGAGCTTTTATATCTGAGCTGACATTGTCTGCAAGGATTTTGACAAATTATTTAACTTGTAAGTTCATGTATTTTTCTGTAGAATTGGTACTTTCTGTCAAACTACATGCTGAACAAACAGTTAACATTCTGTGCTTTAGCAACTATGTTGCTAACACATTTGAGAGTGTGAAGAATTGAGAAACCAGGCAAACTACAAACCCTGAAGAGCTGCTTGGACTTTATTTTGGGGTGGCTTTGTTTGGATTTTTTAGATCATGGTCTTACCAGTGAATCACAGAAAGGTTGGGCATTGGAAGAAATCTCTGGAGACCACCTGGTCCAACTCCCTTGCTAAGGCAGGTTCACTCAGAGGAGGTTGCACAGGATCACCTCCAGTCAGGTTTTGAGTATCTCCAGAGCTGGAAACTCCACAGCTTCTCTGGGCAGCCTGCTCCAGTGCTCTGCCACTCACACAGGAAAGTTCCTCCTCCTGTTTGGGTGAAATGAGAGTTTTGCCAACCCATGTTTTGAAGGCTGAGAGAAGGAAGAAGAGAAAGATAAGAAAATAAAGTGTGCCACTGAGTTGCTAGAGCATAACTACTTCAAAATATGTGAGGTAAAATTTGCTTTCACTAAAATTGGCATCTTTTTGTGTTTCAGAGTCAGGTGCTGTTTTCACATTTGGGAAAAGCAAATTTGCAGAAGATATTCCTAGCAAGTTCTGGTTCAAAAATGACAAGCCTGTACTTATATCCTGTGGAGATGAACATACAGCTATTATTACAGGTCAGTATTGGAAATGGAGGATATAGAATCAGAATAGTTTATGTTGGAAGAGACCTTTAAATTACCAAGTCCAACTATTAACCCAGCACTGCCAAGTTCACCACCAAACCATGTCCCCAAGGGCCACATCTATACATCTGTAGATAAACACATCTATACATCTATAAACACCTCCAGGGATGGGGACTCAGCCACTTCCCTGGGCATCCTGTTCCATGGAGAAATTTTTCCCAATCTTTGGTCTAAACCTTGGTGAAAAGCAAGGTTTTCACAGGACTTGCCCAAGAGCTGTCTGGAGGAAGTTTGTAACTGAGTGTATGGCAGGATTTAAACTAAACACAACTTAATTCAGGCTGAATGTTTCTGGTGAGTCTGACAATGTTTACTATGTTACATATATTGTATGATGGAAGTAACAGTAACTGCTGAACACCACAAGTTCACTAGAAATCTCCTTGAAACAATAATTGTATCTCTCAAATTAAGCTTGGAATTACTGTTACCTGTCAGATGAAAATAGCCTTGAAAGAGCAACTCAATAAAGGATTTCAGAAAATCCTACAAAAATCAGAAATAAATGGAAAAAGCATTCAAAGAAACTCTGGTGTAATAGAGGGAGCATCATTAATGGTTTTTCTTTTCTTTGAAATGATGGAAACAATACTCATTAAATAATTTGTTCATTTTATTTTCCATGGAAGGAACTACTCTTCTGTGGATGAGCATGTGTGATGGTTGTATTGACAATCAACTGCTGACAGATAATAAGACTTTGTTGTTGAAAAAAATGTATGTGTCTTTTCAGGACTTTTAAAATTGGAATGTAGTTATTGCTCATCAATTTCCAATTGGTTGTTGCGTATGAAATAATTTCCTGAGGGTTTCTTGCAATGTTCACAAGCAACATTGAAGATGCTGAATTTTTAGAAAGAACTATTCCAGGCAAGATAAAAAAGACTATAGATTTCTTGGGCTGCAGAACACCCTGAGGTGAAATTACATGATGAATTTTTCAAGCCTAACTTCATGGCAGATGAATTATACATTAATAGTTTATTTTGAACAAAGCTTGGCACTTCTTCTTGGATTGAACCAATAATATTAAATTACCTGTTGCATTGAATTAATCTGGATGTTACCTGGGGCACTGTGGCATTTTCCTTTTGCATTTCCTTTTTACATATACTTTTATGTGCCCACACCCAGTTTGAAATAACACAGGTATAGTTCTGTGTTTAAACCAGTAAATTTAAATTTAAACCAGTAAATTTAAATGCCTGGGCCAGCACTGTTAACCCCAGTCAGCAACAATCCCCTAATTCCCACATCACTGTAATAGTTACCACTTAGATAAAGCTTTTGAGGAGGTCATCTTGCAGAGATTTTCATGCAGCACCATTTCTGTATAATTTCTCCTTCTCTCCATTACTTTAGTATATGCAGCTTTTTTCAAAAGTGTCTCTGTAGCTTGCCCTAGCTGTTGTAGTGGGCAGGTACATCACCAGGGAGGCTTCTAGATGATCAGATCTTTATTTCCTCAAAGCTTTTGCCCTCAAGGAACTGTAGAAGCATGAGAAAAAGACATTTTTGGTAGCAAAAGGTTTTCTGGGTCATTGTAAAGTAAAGGCAAAAGTGAGAGTAAAGTGTGGATCAACAACAAGCAAAGGTAGAGAAACTGCAAGAGTCACACAAAAAAAGTGAAGAAGGAAGGAAAAAGCTCTTCTCCCTCGTTTGTTCTTCATACCAGTGCATGCCCATGTGCACCTCACATTTCTGCAGTTAGATGGAATTGGATGATACAGCCCTTGGGAATGACCCTGAGCTGCAGTAACAGCTGGAATAAATGGTCCAGAAGCTCATGCTGATAATGAGTTTACTGAGAAGGGAGACCAGGAGCTTCTTCAGCTGAACCTGACCTGGAAGAGATAAAAGGCAAACATCACCAAGGAAGGAAAATACCTCAAGCAGGTGTGTGTTAATGCATGCTTCATTTTACCTTCAGTCTTTAGTTGCAGGTCACTAAATTTCCCCCCTCCTTTTTTTCCCACACCTTTAAAGAGGGAGTGGGAGGTAAATTTGTAGGGGACAGTAGGAATATGAGGTAGGTTAAAATTGAGAAATACACCAAATTTACAGTTAACATGGCTCAACAATCCTAAATAAAACAATCACCCAGACTGATACAAATCATTCCTTAATGCTGGACTTGGGGAGGAGAGATGGCTACAGCTAGCATCAAATCTTGACTGAATACTAATGAAGAAAATGTACAAGAACTGATATTTAGCTTTCAAACAAAATATTCAGAAGCTTTCAAATACTTCTTTCATCTATTCCAGCATGAATATTCCCACATGACTTTTATAAAAACAAGTGTAAAATAAATATAAAACACTCCATCCTTTGCATTTCTAGGTCAGGAGTTAAGAGTCCAAAATTTTATTTACATGCTGTAGCTGCATGTTGGAATTGAAGGGACCAGTGATAGTTGCTTGCTGACTTTGAGTTGGCTTGCTGAGCTAGTTGAAATATTTTCTTCTTCAGGAAGGAAGTTTAGGATTGAAATTTATGGTTTTTTATTCTTTTGCATATCATTGGCATAAGCTTGATTAAAATGTCCAAGCAGGAGTTTTTTTAAGCAGTGGTCTTCCTTAGGTCTTCAATGCAGTGATGAGCAATATATATTCCACCATCACTTGTAACATGTTTCATAATGGTTCTTGCCTCATTTCTGTATTTTTTGGCCCAAGAATACTGTTAGTCCATTCCCTGCATCTTCTATAACTGCAGGCTTTGGAAAGCAATTAATTCATCCTCATGGGAGCTGGTGTGAAGAAGTATGAATATGCATACTTTTAAGACCTCATTCCAATGCCTGTGTATTAAATTTTATTTCCTACAAAACCCTCAAACTTAACAGCTACCTTATTGTTTATTTGCCTTGATTAGAGTATCCTAGGCAGCTTAATCACATTTGATCAGAGACTGATCCTGTTCACAAAGGGGAAAGTGATGGTGAATGAAGATGCCTTTTCTGAACTGAGTGCCCTGGAGAGAATTGAAGCCCCCAACACAAGAAAGCAGAAGGAAAGAAAGAAGTAGCAGTTGTAAAAGTGGGAGTGAAAGGTGCATATGGAACCACAAGATACTATACTCATAATTTCAGGTTTTGTAAGGCATTAAGCACTCAACAGAGATCTTGGAAACTCTCCAGGTGTTTTGTCACCAGTTTTCTTCTATTCTTTCTGCTTACCAGTAGGTCATCAGAACATGGCACAATACCTTTTGCATCAGCTGCAAGGGGAGGATGAGAAAGATTAGTACACATTTGTGTTGATGTATGTGAGCAAGCAATGTTCTGTGCTGGTTTTGCTTGTGTGATGCCAAATGTCCTAAGCATGACTGTGCTCGTTGCTCAATAAAGTTTCTGAAAATATTATGACTTGTCTAAAGAAACTGATGCCACTCTTATTTTCCTGGGATTTATTTGACTTCTGTAGGAGTTTTAAATCAACTGTTAACATAATTTATTCACTAAATAGCTCAAATAAAGATAATTTTAAAAATAATCGTGGTTCCTTGGCATTTGCTACTCTGTACAAAATACTGCCTTTTATGTTTTATTCAGATACAGTTTCTCAGAAGGATCTTGTAGTAAATATTCAAGGCCTGTACATTGCCTCCCCATCTTATTTCTCTCCCACACTCATATCATTTAAAAAGAAGAGGGAGCAATATGTAAAACATACCTTTCAACATAGGTGATTAGAGTACTTGGCTGCTTGCTATGACAAAGCACATGGGATTTCAGCTGAAATTTCCCAGCTGCCCAATGATTGCCTTTAAAAGCACTTCATGAACCAAGTGCACATGACTGATGGGCTTGCAGGAATTACAGTTGTGATAGCAACTGTTCATGAGAAATGAGGGGGGAGACAATCTCTTACTGCAGTGTCCCCAAAACCTCTGTTGCTACACATGCAAGCATCTTGTGGCTTCCCTGGTAGCCCTGAATTGCTGCTGGTGAAACATCTGCTGGTGTACCTGCCAGGGAGCACATGCTTGGGAGAAATACTTCAGTTTTGCATCAGGATAAAGGTGGAGACTGCTGTTGGAATTGTTTTTTATCACCAAAACAGTCTGAGTAGGACTTTTCACTGTATCCTGTTGTTTCCCTCCTGCCCAGAGTCATAGTCTTACTCTATTTTGTGCCAGCCATTCCACCTGGCAGGTGGCCACAGTCTGGATGGTGGCACCAAAATGGAAGCAAAAAACCCAAGAGTAATCTGAGTTTACAAAATTTTGAAATTTGATCCTTGCCTATTTGCCTGCTGTTGGATTCAGTGCATCTGTGTGATGGCTGGGATATCTCAGTATGCAGTTATGATAATTGTGCCTTTTGCTTGCAAAATTATGTTGGATTTCTTGGCCAGCTTAGATTGAGTCATGTCTCTTCTGAAACTTGATTTGTTGTACAGACTTTGAAACGTTGGTTCATTATGAGCATTTGTTTAGGTTCCTCTGTAGTGCCTATTAATTCCCATTCTCTTTCTAAATTAACTGCTTCCCAGATTTCTTATTTTCTGTTATACTCCTAGGAAACCTGAAATTACAAAAGGCTGTCAGTCAGTTGTAAAAGAATGGAAAAATTCCTCTCATCTATTAAGCTCCTTGACTTACAAAGCAATGCCTAAGAATTTAAAGACTGATATAAAACCCTGCAGATTATAGGATGAAAAGCATGACCTTGTTTGAATTTTGCATGGATAAAAGAGAATGTGCTTAAATTGAATTAGGGCAGCTTGGCATCATACTCTCACAAAAGTACTGCTGTCTTAGAAAAGCAGTTGGAAAGTGTAAAGCAAGGATACAAGGAAGCCATGCCAATATAGGATAGATGTCATTTGCTGATAAAAATCCTTTCTGTTTAAGGTGTGTTTGCTGTCAGGGACAGCTCTGCATGTGTTTGACATGATTGCATTATCAAAATTAGGATGGAGATATAAATCCTGTTAGTAGAACACTGTGAGCATGAATTTGACCTCTGTCTTTCTTCCCTTCCAGCTTTCTTGGAAAGACATAATATTGACACATAGTCCCACGTGCCAAGAATTGTAAAATCTAACAATCAGGATTTTAGATACTAGTTACAGTTAAGCACTGGTGTGGTTTTGGTTTTTTTTTTCTTTTTAACTGTGTGTTTATATTTAAGAAAATGAATGGATATTTTTATTAGAATATGATTTTTGGGTAATATTTTAAATATTGTAATGTCATACTTCAAAGTCTCTCTAAATCACAATCAGAACCTTCACTGGGAACAGCCATATTATTTTGGCATTATTATATGGAATTGCAATTATGGATTGTGGATGTGTTAATTGTAGATGATGAGGGTGTTGAGCTCTATGACCAAATTTCTGTCTAGGGTGACAGAAATTATGATGGAGTCTAATGCACAAAGATCTGCAGACCTTCAGAAGTAAACAAAGTCCTATTAATTGTTGTGAAAGGGTGGGAGTTTGAGAAGAGGATGTTGTTTTGTTGTGGAGTTTTTTGCTATATCAGTTTCTATTGTTTTGCAAAGATTTCTGTTGGGACAAGGGTTTTATTTTCCAGTGGGAACTTTACAGCTTTACAAGGTGTGATAATTTAAAAAAATGAAATTAAATGAGTTCACTTTAAGATATTGTCAGTAGTCAGTTTTGGCTAATTTTCATCCCAGATGACAAAATTCTCATCTTTCATATACCATCCTCAGAAAAAAACACTGGTTGTTCAGAATTGTAAGAGTTTGTTGTTTGCAATGGTCAAACATGCAAGTCCAATGACACATCATAGGAATTTCTGAAAGGTGATTCTAGCATTGTCCCTGTTGAACATTTGTAACTAATGTCTGCATTTAGGTTTACAAAACTCTCTGTGTGGTGGCTTTATACATTCTGTCTTTATATGCAAAATAAAAATAAATATAGTTTGTGAAAATTTATCAGAAACTACATTTGATAGAAATGCATATTTGTAAATAATTTTAAGACATTTAGCAGTAAAAGAAATATCCCACCCTAAACAATCAAAGAAGTCAAATGTTACAAATCTCTACTTGTATTTATTAAATAGCTGCATTATTCATTCATGTCTTTGGAGTAAAAGATGTGGGTGCTCAGTTAGATGCGTTGTTATTTTATAAGGTATTATATATTATTTTATAGATACTGGGGTTTCTGGACTGCAGGGTCTGCCCAAAAGTACATCTTGTTTTCTGAAGAGCACTTCATCTGTGCTGTAATTAAAGATGAGGGTGTTTCTTCTTCTGGCTGGGGATTTCTTACTTAAACAATGCAATTACTATTTTTGAACTGTAAAATCACAAAGATATTTATTATTGTTTACACTTATGTACTGAATTGCCTAAACTTAAACCTTACATTAGAAAGGAAGTAATAAGTTCTTTGTGAGTGAATGACCATCTTGGCTGGGATGAGGTGTTCAAACCCTTATATGGATTCTGTCTGTGATTTTTTTTCAGGGAAAGGCAAACTCTACATGTTCGGCAGTAACGACTGGGGCCAGTTAGGACTGGGATCAAAGAGCACTGTCAGCAAACCAACCTGTGTGAAAGGTTTGTGGGAATTTTCTTTTTTCTTTTTTTTTTTTTTTTTTGAAAAGGAGACCCTTGTGAAAAGGTACTTCATAGGATGCGATTCCAAAATAACTGATTCTTTATTATTCTTCATCACATGTGCACATGATCATGAATGCAGCTCTAAAGGATCCCTTATTGATTTTCCATTACTTCAGATTCTGAGTCCTTTTGCATCTGAGGATTACTTCAGATACATAGAATCCTGTCATTTTTGAGGGCTCTGACTTTATGTAGTACTTGCCTATTCTCTCAAACCACATCTTCATTTTTTACTGCAGACAATAATCAGATGCTTGGTCTCTGCATGGTCGATGTGTTTGAAGCCATAGTTCCAGCAGCATTGTGTAACCTCTGTGTCACTATTTTCTTAGCAACTTTGTAAATTAAAAAAAATCTATCAGAAACTTTTCACAAGTACTGTTACATTTTTAACAAGTATGAGAAATGCCCCAGGGACATAAATGTTAATACATTTTTATGAGGCAGTAAAATAAATTCCTGTATCCTTTCACATGTTGAAAAATATGTTTTCATTGCACTGTGATCTTTTTGATCTTTCCTAGCTGTTTTTATCTTGTCAAACAAAGCCGAGTCAATACTTTTCCTTATCCCTTTACTTATGTCAAGTCAGATCTATCCCATTAGCACATTTCTTTTCACTATTAAATGTTTATCTTCACTCTTTCTGCCAGCGGATCGATCTGTTAGCTTATTGTTAAAAACAAATTATCCTGCTTGTTCAAACTCTGTTCTTCCTGATTTAGTTTATTCTACTGTCCTTTATTTGCTCCTGCCTCCATCTCTCTTCAGATTGAGAATGCAGCTACTATCAGGTACACATCTTCTGTCAGCCATGTGAGAGATTGATTCCTACCTTGGCTTAAATAGATTTGGTTTCAAGTTTTGGGTTTGCTGTTGAATTGCAATGGAGAATAAAAGATGAAGAGAAGATGACAGCAATTCAAACCAGACCTGGCATCCACTGAAAAAAGTCACAAGAGGGGTGTCTTTTTTCTCTTGGCAGTAGACAGCAGGAGGAATTCCTGGAGATTTTTCTCATTAGCCTTTGGTCATCACTTGGCTTTGGGAATGGGGTTATAAGGACACTTTAAATTTTCTGCTTGGAGCCAAATGCTCATGTCTGCATGTTTCTAAAAAAAATTTCTGGGACTTGGTTAGAGATTAATGACATTGGTTATGAAAAATCACCAGCAACATTGTAAATATAGCATGTCTCCTAATATACAATTGGTTAGCCTAAGTGGGAGGAATTTTAGGTTTCACAGGCTTCTGAAGAGCTGATTAAGACCATCTCTGAAGTTGAAGAGTGTTGGGACATAAAGACTGTAGGAAGAAACCACCATTGGGAATGTTATGGTTCCACCCTGATGGTAGTGGTAGGTGTTGGACAGAAGCAGGAACCTGAATTTGGACAAATTAAGTTTGTGTCTTGACAGAGCAGGGGCAGTTCATGCTTAAGTTGATAGATTTGTTTGGTGACTTGGTAGAAGGCACCTTAATCTGGATGTTAAAGAGCTGATGAAAGCTGATCTGGAAGGGCTGAAAAAGGGTTTGTGAAAGGGATGATTGTTGTTGGCTTTGTTATGGACTAGTGCAATGGAAAGGCAATTAAATATTTATTATGTAAAAATAATCCTGGTTTAGAGCATTGTATAGGGGACATGGACATGATTGAGAAAAGATAATTTGTTGACAATGAACAGTAACTGGAGCAAAGATGGAAAATTCAGGGAGACGTTTTTCCTCTCTATTTCTGAAATGGAGGACACTTTTCATAGGAGAAAAGGAACCTCTGTATTCTCTCTTTCCCACCAAAATAACTCCTGACTCCCCTCACATCCATTCCCAGTCTTTCAAAGTGACCAGACTGCAGAGAAGTGCATGCCATGGCTCTCTCATTGGTGCTAACTCAGCTGAAATGGAGACAGGGTGGCACAGGCAAAAAATGCAGGCACTGGGCCAGGTAGGGCTGCCCCTGGCAATTGAGATCAGGGATCAGGAAGGGATCAGAGCACAGCAGAAAAGGGATGGGAGCACAACAAAGGGAGGTAGGAATGGTGAGACAAAGGAACAGGATGGTTTCAAAGATTTACAATGCTGGGAAAAGTCTAGGGGGGAACTAACAATGGCCCTGTTAATGAAAACTGAAGACAGCTTATATCATTAATTTCATCCTGCTACTTAATATATTCTTTGAGGCATATCCCATGAATGGCAAATTGCAGGGACTGTGGCACTGGGGTGAAGTAACCATCATCAAGTTAACTTGAGTGCTTTAAGTTTTTAAGGTTTGACCTATTTTCTTATCTCGGGGGAATACTGATTTGATAAGTCATGTGCTAGATTCAAATGGGCAATGAATTTTGTAATAATTCTGTTTGTAAAAATGTGAAAAGAAGAAATCAGAGCTCCCTCTAGAGCACAGAACATGTTGTTGAACCAGCTATCAGTTTGTTTATAACATCCCCTCCTCTTTGGTTTTAATTCTTAGCTTTAAAACCAGAAAAACCAAAACTTGCTGTTTGTGGAAGAAACCACACTTTAGTTTACACAGGTATGTAACCTCTATTTTGTACATATTCAAGATGCATTTCTTCCTTTGCTTTCATGCAAATCTACATTAGGAACCCCAGAAGTGTTGAAGAAAGTAAAAAAAAAAAAGGGTCTTCTAGAACTCAGGGGTTTGACATCCAATTCTTAGAATTCAGAATTTTTTAGAATTTTGAAATTTATTCTGAGCAAATGCATCCATTAACTAATGTTAGATAGTAGTTTCCTAGTAATAGACATATGGAAAAATTTCTTGCTGGCATATGAGGTGTGGTTAACAATTATGAATATTTTCTTTAAGCCCTGTAATAATATGTTGTTATTTTTATATACATCTGTACTCAAATTTACCTTTGATAAATAGTCTTTATCAGTTTGAAGTTACATATTTGAATAAATATAATAGAACTGCATGTTTTCAAGTCTTCATATTTTCCTGCATTTTTGGTTACACAATATAGTCTGCTTTTTCAAGACAAGTTGCTTTATTAAGCTATAAATAAATAAACTGTAAATATGAACTTAAAAATAAATTTGTGGAGACACAGTATACAGAGAATTTATGAAGGCTCTTGTCATGCTTCTATGATTTATGTAATGGAATAGCCATCTCTGTGATTGCAATTCTTTAGCTTTCAGTAATGTTGTAAAGAGGATTGTTTGATTATTAGGAGGTTTATATACATGGAGACCCTGAACACTGTAAATAAGATTGTTAGAATAAAATAGAACATATTAATAACAATTGAGTATGCAAGTTTGCAAAGGGAAAACATTAGTCACATTTGGTGTACACACTGGCTAGGTAATTTGTGGCCATTATATGTCAGATTATTTATCACATTTCTGTCTGAGTTTCTGTTAATAATAGGATATATCTGTTTCTTTACAGATGAGCACTTTAGATGTGAAACATACTAAAATTAAAAGTATAAATCTCAAAGTTCTCTAAAGTTGAAGATATCTGTCATCAGTGTTAAATTCAAGATTCTAGAAAAACCACCTGGTTAAATTAAATTGGAAGTTATTTAAATATTAAAATAAGTAAAATATTTCTAATAAAAAAACTAAGTAGAACTATATTTCATTCACAATGCTCAAAACTATCAAGTTACTAATTTCTTTAATTTATGTACTAATACAGCTTTTTATTTTGTGTGACATCATGCACCCCTTTCCTCCTACTTTATCTCAAAATATACATTGTTTGTGGAAGGAGCTGCTTCTGGTTGCCAGGGCTACTGGTAGTCATTTTCTCAGAGCTCTTGCAGAACTTCCAATCACATTTATTTTTACATCAGTCTCCAGAATAGTGAGAAATGCAGCAAGGTCTTTAGGAAGTTCTGCTCCAAGTGTGTGCAGGAAAACATCGCTAGCTGCAACAGAAACTGCTAATTTCAGCTGGAGGGTGTTTCAGGGCAATAGAGCCTAATGTTTTTGTGATGTTTTTTCCATTGAAAATTAAATCACTTGTTCTACTTTCTTCTTTCTCTGTGTTACCTGTGCTTTTCTGTATGCAGAAAAAGGAAATGTCTATGCTGCTGGAGGTAACAGTGAAGGCCAGTTGGGGTTAGGTGACACAGAGGAAAGGACCACATTCCATTTAATTAGATTTTTCACCAACCAGCACAAGATCAAGCAACTATCAGCTGGGTCATACACCTCAGCAGCAGTAACTGGTGAGAACCAATGCTAATAAAATCTATTTATGTGTTTCTAACCTGATTCCAGGAAGACACTTAATCCAGCTTTCTGTCTGTATATGTGGGTGCATTTTCTATCCTCGCTGTCTTCTTTCCTTGGTAGCCACAGTCATTTTTTGACAGCCAATTTCCTATTTTAACAGTCTGGTGAAGGGTGTGTGTCTCAATAACTTCTTAGAGTTTTTGTGAAGATTTAGTAGAAATACTTACAGAGGAGGAATGGTATGGATACCCTCAAAATGGAAAAAAATATCTTCAGTTTATTTCCAGGGAAAGCAGCTACAAAACAATAGTCCTATGAAAAATAAGTATCTTTAATTCCACTTGTTACTGCAGCTATTGCAGTCCATTGGTTCAGGCTGCACTGCTGTGTCATTCCTTACTAATTCTGGGAGAGGCTGAGCCTCTCACCTGTTTCTCAGGTGGCAGAATTATACCAATTATATATCACAACATGCTGAAATCCACACAGTTACAATACTTCCAGTCACTGGATGGGTGGTCCTTTATTACCCTATAATGCAATTTTTCATGTCTTGCTGTAAAGCAGTTTTTTCTGAACCTGATCAGGGTAAGTTATTGAGGCTTTAATTTCAGAACTTGAGAGAGATGCTATCCTGCTTGTTTGGTTTTGGGGGTTTTTTATGCCAATTGCTGATATTCTCCTAAGTTTTTTTGATTTTTGGGACAATTTTGAATTATTTTAACTCCTAACACCACCTCAGTAGCACTATAGGTGGTACTTTTTTAATCACAACTTATTTACCACCAATAAGAAATACACATACATACATAGAGAAGACTTTATAAGATTTTATCTCTTCTAGAAGAATCTACAGACTTTTCATGTTGTTCACTGCCTTTTTTTTTTTTTTTTTTTACTATTGCCATTGGTCTTTGTTTCAATAGAAGCTGGTCTTAGTAAACCTGGAACATCTACTGTTGTAGTTTAAGGAGAGGAGAATGAAACTGGTCAATATAACCACCTGTGAGGGGAACTGAAAGATAAAGCATGAATAATTGGGATGCCTACCAAAGTCAGAACAGAGAATAAGTTTAGAAGAATGAGAAAGGGGTGACTTACACCTAGGAATGAGAAGATGCCTTAAATTCACTGTAATATTTTCATACTGACCTCTGGTAACTGAATTGTCTCACTCAGTGTTCCTCTATCTGAAGGAATGTTTTTTTTACACAGTATTTTTTCTGTTGGTATTTATGGCCTAATGTTGGTTGTGTCTAAGTGTTCTGGGTCACTTTTGAAAAGCTTAAGGAAAACTCTCTTATTTCCAACTCCTTTTTGCATTGAGCTAAATTATCATTTATATCCTTGAGATCATGACATTCAGTAGTATCATATAGTTTCTGAAGTACTTTTCAATAAATAGATTAACTTTTATTAGTTTTTATTTTAAATCTATTAACTATCTGTGTCTTCATTGTAGAGGATGGGCAGCTCTTTGTGTGGGGTGATAATTCAGAGGGGCAGATTGGCCTGGCCAGTGAAGCCTCTGTCAGTGTCCCCTGCAAAGTGGATATTGGAAAACCTGTTTCCTTTGTATCCTGTGGATATTATCATTCTGCCTTGATTACAGGTAAGAGAATGGGAATAGAGGTTAGTGGAGACAAGACAGTGGTTTTCAAATAGTTGTTTGAAACTTGATACCCTATAGTTGTTAAAAACTATAAGCCTCCTATGTAGAGAAAAAACTTGCAGATAATTTTCTGCATTTGCACATTGTTGTGTAAAAGTGTATTAGAAAGAATGAAATGTCTTATTACAATTTGTTTTCATAAAGGTTATTTCATATATTGTGGATTAAAACTATGGTTTCAAAAATCCATCTTTTTTGAGTTTTTTCTTGTTTTGGTGCTCAAATAATAAACTTTATCTTCTCTAGAAATACCAATATTGAACTGAGATGCTATTTTAAGAGGAAAAATTAATCTTGTTAGAAGTAAAAGATTGTTGTCCAAGTTTGTTTTTTGGTCTTAAATGTAAGTTTTGAAATAATTTAAACTGGCAGTATGTGATAGAGGAGAAGCAATGCTGCAGTGAGCTGTTGTCTGCTCTCCAAACCAAACCACCTCCCTATTGCTTTCCACCTCTCTCTTCCCAACTCTCCATTGCTTTCCAAAGTGAAGATTCCACTCACCTTTTAATAATGCCAGTATGGATGAATGATCAGCCATTATTGATGGCATTATGTATGAGCAGCTATGAATTCCTCTCAGCCATATAGATTTACATTATCAAACTTTACTGTTTGGTCTCCTTAGAGTAATTAAAGATTTCAAAGGATCGATAGTTTTGATTGTAAAGCTTTTAATGGGTAACCAGGAGCTATTCCATCAGATACCTTTCCCAGATTACTTGATAAATGTTACTTTTCCACATACAATATCTTTATTGCTCTCTGAGAACATGCTGTTAACAGAATGAGAGCTTGCTACCGTGGACAAATATTAATTAGGTGTTAGGCTGGTGGTGTGCAACTTTTTATTACAAATGCTTTATTACAGTAAATGAATTAAGTGTCTGGGACTGATCAGGACCTCAGCATCTGTTAGGAAAAACACAGCTTCCTGGACTCAGAATAAATGGGGGAAAAAAAGATGCTTGCTTCAAGGATGTAGTAGTAATGTGTGCATCTCTGCCTTTGAGCCAAGAGCTGAAGGTCCAAGAGTGCAGCAGGATGTCACAAAAGTTCTTATTAGTAGAAGGGTTGAGGACAAACATCTGAGAGTAAAGAGAGAACAGTGTGTGCCAAGTGCCCTAAGGTAGTGGATGCTTTTGATGGAAGGGGATAAGAAAAAAGGCTTAGTCTTGTACCTGGCTAAAAAAAATGGAGCTTATTAAAATATTGATAGGAAGAGTGAACTGGTTAGCACCTGTGAAAATGAGGAGTTGGTGAACCTATTACTACTTAAACAGGCCTGAGTATGAGGTGGAGAATCTTAATTTTTAGCCTTAATATCTGCAAGTCCTGCATGAATTCAGTCTATGTCACTGACGCTACTGATGCACACATGGATTCTTTGTGGTGAAAGCATAAATTTTTTTATTACTTTCTCTGGGCCCCTTGTCATCAGTTTTATTTGACTGATACTTCAGCTGCCATAAAAATTTAATATCTGGCATCCAAGTACTTTTGCAGAATCAATTTTCTGTTGCACTGCTGTCAGTGTGTATCTACACAGTGTTAAAAATTAGCTTTATGCATTTTTTCTGAGTATACCCTAGTCACAGGATGTATTACTTACCAGTTATTAGAATACTGTAGAATTACCACATTTTGATTTTTAAACATGAAGTAATACACTCTCTTTAACAGTGTAACATGCTTGCAGGATTTCAGACTTGGTAGATGCTGTCAGACTGAACTGATAAGCATGGCACCATATGGCTCCCTTTCTTAATATGTTTATGTTTGACATAAGGTGTGTGCTGGCTGCAAAACCTGTTGGGAACACAGACATATCTGGGTTAAAACTAAAAGGTGGCTCATGAGGACACTAGGAAACATAGTGTGGACACAGAGTGCCCTCTCCAGGGCAGGATGTTCATTAATGAGAGAGTATTGAATAAAAAAGTGGTAAAGTATGGATGCCAGCTTTTTTTTTCCTTTTAAAATGAAGTTCTTAGTTTTTTTGACATTGCTGGGTTTTAGATTTTTTTTTAGTAGACTTTTAACTTTAAGGTGGTTAACTGCTATAAAGACAAGAGCAATGCCTCTTATAGCTCCAAAAAGTGATGACACCCTTCTTCCTTCTGCTTTTAAAAGGCTTTGTTTGCAGACAATTAAATGCTGAACATGTGTCACCTGTATTCTGCCATGTACACCTGGACTCCATTGATGCCAAAGGGGTTGTAGAATAGAAGAACAGCATAAATCCTGAATATTTTAAATAAAAAACCCACTTCTGAAATTTAGACTAGGCATATAGACCTGTGCCTACATGCACAGGCAATGGCTAACTCAATTCCATATGCAAATTAAGAACTAGTCTGATTAATCAGTTCATATTTGAAAGATAATTGTTTTCCTCTCCTTTGCATTTGTCAAAGAGTTCCACTGAAAAGAAGTTCTTAGTCTGTAGCTTCCAGCTCTCTTCAGGATTTTTTCAGTGTGTTTTCTTTCCTTCCTTTTTGCAGGCTTTGGACATTGTGTCCCAGTATCAGGGTTTTGCCTCAAGCAAATCAACAGGGAAATAAACTGCTGGGAGTGCTGGGAGAGTGTAGCAACAATTTTGAGCACTTATACAGATCTTTCCTTGACTCTCCTTTGACCACACACTCAGGAGGGGACAATTTTTCAGGAAGCATTAAGCTTGGCAAGCATGTACAGCTCATTTGTCCACTGCAGGAGATGGAGAGCAGGAAAAGCTGATGTATCTCACCACTGCTTGGCTTCTACAGCAGAATTAGATGTGTGGAGACAGAAAGGAACTGAATATATTAGACCCCTTCTGGTGTTTCCCCTGCCTGAATTGTAACTGTAATCAAGGTCAAGATAGATTCTTACTGAGAAGATCTGTTTTCATAGAGATTTGCAGGTTCCTTGAATTCTTTTTTAAAATATATTTTGTCATTATTTTTAAGGACTGGTTTAAGAATCATTCATCCCACAAACACTTCCGTGCTCTGAATTTCAGTGTTTGAGACAGTTTTAACCAATTTGGTCTTAATAAATATGTCTTTTCTTTTTCTTCTTCATTTATTCAAGAAACGTTAGAATTATCCAAGTCTTTTGTCCACTCATTTTTGTCCTTCATTTGCCACCAGCCAGATCTCTTATCTATGCACTCAAATGCACATTTCCTTTTGAGGGACAATTTCCATTCATTTGTCCATTTTCTTGATGTGCTCCTGTGATTTTAAGTTTAGTGATACAGAAAATCACATTAGGGAAAGTTCAACATGTGAGAGTGTGACTCATATGAGAGGAACAAATTAAATAACCAGGTTTTGTTGTGAACAGAGTGTCCTTAAAATTCAGGTGTACTCCACACAGTACATCATGTCCTCAGCATGCAGATGCACTCAAAATTTATCTGGGTTTGAGTGGGTTCTGTTCATGCTTGATTGCTATTTTTCATAGTTTTTAGACCACTATTTGCCTAAAAGAGATGTGTAATGTATTCAAAAATTACTTTGGTAAATGGTTTTATCTTTGTTAGCTGGATTATTAAGTGGAAAAAATGTAATAAACTTGATGAGTTTGGGAGGCTTGGCCATTTGAATCTCTAATCCTCTTAATTAGATAATGATTGGATTAATTTTTTCAGTGCAATAGTGTTTAAAAAGAACTGCTGGTCTCTTCAAAGAGAACTGCATAAGTAGTTATCTCCCAAGTGCTTTTGGTTTGTTTTTTTTTTTTAAACTTGTTTTTAGAAATTATGGCTGATCTAAGAATACTGAAAAAATACTTACCTTCCAAAAAATACAGGGTTCTTTTTGTTGCCTTTTTTTTTCCTTTCCACTTAGGATGCTTAAAATCTCTTTTTGTCAGCAGATTGTTTTGGTTACAGAAAACCTCACATTGCAGTTGATTTTTATCTTTTTAATTGGGCTACTGTTTTAGAACAGAAAATTGGTGCTGATGCAAATAACAGCAAAGTATTTCTGCATATAGATATAGGAACAAAATCAGAATTAAAACAGGAAATAAAACTCAACAGAGACGCTTAAGTTCATAGGTTTAAAATGTAATGAAATTTACTTTTTTGCAGTTGAGGTAATTTGTTGGTTCTTAAGAAGCACAGACAGATTGAAATGACTGCAAAAATTCGTAGAAAAGAGGTGTAGAAGAATGTAAGAGAGCCTTGAGAAGATGAGGCTGAGGGGGGAATCTCATCCCTGTCTGCAGGGAGGGTCAGGGCATGGACCAGGCTCTGCTCTGTGATGCCCAGCAGTGGGACAGGAACTGATGGTCAGGAAGTTCCATCTGAACATGAGGAAGAATTCCTTCACTGTGCAGTGACCAAGCACTGGGACAGACACCCAGAGATGAATGTGGAGCCTCCCTCACTGGAGATATTCCAGAAATGTCTGGGCACAATCCTGGGCCATGTGCTTGAACAGGTTGATTTTTCCATCAAAATTCCACACAAAATTATTTTCTGTTTCAGTTCAGGTTCTTACAAGCAATTCTTCATTTGACTTAAATACTGATTACAGAGGGAATTACCACCTCTCAGAAGCAGGATGCACGTGGTTTTGTTTTTCCTGTGACTACATTCCTTGCAGGCTGAATATTGTGATTTGGAATTTGCAAGGCACTCAGATCTAGCACCTTTGTGTCCCATCAAAGTGGAGTGAGGGTGAGGAGCTTGGAGAAGAAGCCCTGTGAGGAACGGCTGAGGGAGCTGGGGATGTTTAACCTGGAGAAAAGAAGACTCAGGGGTGACCTTGTCACTCTCCACAACTCCCTGCAAGGTGCCTGTGCTCAGGTGGGGGTGGTCTCTTTCTCCAGGCAGCACTGACAGAACCAGAGGGCACAGTCTTGAGCTGTGCCAAGGGAAATATAGGTTGGATATTAGGAAAAAGTTTTTTACAGGAAGAGTGATAAAGCACTGGGATGGCCTGCCTGGGGAGGTGGTGGAGTCACCATCCCTGGATGTGTTTAACAAAGACTGGATGTGGCACTTGGTGCCATGGTTTAGTTGCGGTGTTAGGGCTGGGTTGGGCTCAATGATCTTGAAGGTCTCTTCCAACCTGGTCAATTCTGTGAAATCTGTGCTTTTCACAGCTGTTTGGGCATTATACAAATATGTTCAGCTATCCTGTAATGTTCATACTCTTTTTTGTCTTTATAATTTCTGTTTGCAGCAGTCTTGACAACCCATTCTTGCTCCTGAGTGTGTGCTAGAAACCATAATTCGTTCTGTATTTTCACAGGAGATGGTGAGCTCTATACTTTTGGAGAAGCTGTGAATGGGAAACTGGGATTATTCCCTGAACAGTTGAAGAACAATAGAGTCCCACAGCCTGTACTGGGAATTATGGAAAAGGTTAATAAGGTTGCTTGTGGTGGAGAACACACTGTGGTGCTGACAGGTATGCAATTTAACTGGCTCTTCTTACAGCCCTGTAATTTAAACTCCATTCACCCATTCCTGTGCTGCACTGCCCATGTCCCTTGGCTACAGGATGAACTTGGTCAGATGATTTTAACAGAGGAGCTTCCAGACAGCTCCTGGTTGACACTACTTGCCTGTCCTTGCTTTATCTGGAACTTCAGCAGCAAGTTCCAATGTGAATGTTCTTTTTATTCAGTATAAAATGCTGAAGTTATCAGTATAAATGATGTGTAGAGTGGTTTTGGGTATAAGAAAATCCTGTAAGAGCTCAAACTGAGGTAACCTTCCATGGATGGGATCTGCAGAGTGTGCTGGGGTCCTTTTCAATTCTGCACAGCCCAGGACTCTCAGCCTCTGAAGGGACAGAAGGTTATTGATCCTGTCTTCTTTTTCTTTATAGTCTTACCTCCAATAAATAACATTTTAAGAGAACTTTACATAGACTGAGTGCCTTTCTTACTGGAATTGTAATAAGGCAGCACCACCTGGTGCAACACAGATGATTGATGTTTTTTTCCTCTAAGGAGCTTGAAATTGTTATTGCAGTGAGAGGGAAATTCTAAAGGAAAGCTTCCATTCTGTAGTAAATTTAAATGCTCTTGAATATTTAGGAAGGTATGTAGGAAGTCACTTTTTGAGTAGCTTCACTATCTACTGCATGCCTGAATGGATTAAATATCTCTTATTGTGATACAGAATTTGCTTGTGCCTTTGAGCAGAATCTTTAGCATAAATATGAAACCAGTACAGACATTTGACATATTGTGCAGGTTATGAAAATCAGCAAATACAAATGTTACATATTAATTCACAGGGCCACATATATAGTACTTGGAAAATGCTGTGTGTTACTGAACTGTTAAATGGTTGTCTGCCAGTGGTGACTGAGCTTTTCCAAGGCATACATGCAAAGCAGTGCCAGCCATTTCTTTCCACAAATCCTATCCTGACCTAGAGTGGTGTAGAAGCAGGAAAGGTAAGTTTGACTTTGCCTGAAGATAGTTCAAAAAATATCAGCTTTAGCTTGTAATGGATATAATATGTGTAAAACTGAATAGCTTGCGATTTTTCTTCTGCCAAAATAAAAAAGCTGTAAAACCAAGATATATATAGATATATAACCAAGATATATATATACTGGACGTATAGATATCAGTCCTTAAATCTCTATTCTAATCTGTATTCTCTGTGGTTGTCTCTTGACAATCTTGTGGTGTGCATTCCAAGTTATGTAGCCAAACTTTCTAAAATATAAGCTGAAAATCTAACTGAGGGAGACTTTGAGTGGTGTTATGCTGCAAGGCATTGGAAAGAGTAAAGGTGGAAGTGAAATGCTGGGAAAGATTATGTGTGGTGAGTCAAGCTGCAAGATTCTGGCTAGGTTAAAATTCCTTTGGGAAAACTGCAAAGAGGAAATAGCAGTAGCTAATCCAGGAAGTAATGTAAACATTTGTCTACATTTCACTGCCTTTGTCTCCCTTCTTCCACCAAGATACAGTCTTACCCTGACAGTATTCTATGTCACAAAATAAATTTATTTATGTGAAATCAGATTACCATTATTAGTGAAAAAATGGCCATAAATAAAAATGGCCATAAATGGTCATTTGGGACCAACAAATGCATAAATCATAGCATTATTTTATGAGTTATAAAGTGAAGTTTTGTAGAAAGAATTTGATTATCGTCATTGATTATTTTTTTAACCATAAATCTGAATTCAACCAGTAGATATTTTGATTTAATGGTGTTTCATATGATAAAAATAATCATTATAACCAACAACCTTTATAGAGATTTAGAAGAAAGATACAGACCTGGATGCCATCATCATTATAGTGAAATCTGTACAATCTAGAACAAAGAGGAAGATAAAAATGCCATAGAAAAATGCAGTGAAGAAAATACTGTAATAAGTATACATATATGTAAGATTTGCTTGCTTATGGAAATAAATTCTTTAGTAGAAGTAAGTAAGAAATTCAGTGCTGGCTGAGCTGGCAGTTTATGATCAAAGTGTTGAGTGCCAGAGGACCTAGTTGAGTCATAAAAAAGAGGAAAACTATATCCTCCAACAAAATACATTTCCTGAAGATTATTAGTTGTGATAAGAGTGAAAAATCAAATAGATGTTTTTTAATGTGATTCAGCTGTTATTAAAAAAGTGACAAATGTGAACTTCTGACTAAGACACTTTGAGTGAAACAGTAGAGAATATTGGCATTTTTGTATCAAATGAGAGATACTTAGTCAGAAGTGTTAACACAGAGAACATTTTCTGACTCAAAGCAAAATTTGAGAAAAGAGTTGTGAAGAGAGATAGATACCATTACTAAAAAATTTAAGGGACTGTGACATACGTACATTAATGGCTTTTCACCAGAAACTTCACTTGAAATTGGTCCTAAATTACATCTTACGGTGTGACCAGAAACTGAGAATTCTGATGAGATATCTTTAAAGAGGGGCAGAAACATTTACACCTCTTTTAAGCTCATTTTCATAAATTAAGAAAGTAATACAATTTTGAAGAAACTCTGAATTTCAAGTGTCATCCTCCATGAAAATGGATGCTGCTTGCCTTTAGTAACAGAATATGTACTGTTGTGGTTCTCATCCTTTCAGGGTCTTTCCAGCTTTTAAGGATATGACATTTCAGTCTCAGAAAATGAGAATTGAATGTGTGACTATTGAATATTCCCTTGCTTCATCTATCTCATTTGACATAGCAAAAGCACAAGAGAAAATGTCACATGGAGAAACTGTTGCTCATCTTGGCTCATTTCTCGACATCATCTCTACTTAGAGTTTATCAAATTAGAAGAAAGCATAATTCAGTTATCTTACAGAGTATAAGGCAAGTTTCCTCCTGACTCTCATGTGTAATTAGTCTATTCCAAAGCAATTAATATGATTTCTTTTTCATGACTGTTGTCTATACTATTGGCAGTTTTGTGTGGTGAGAACCACTGTTATCTGGGCTATTAAATCGAGGTACTACTTGCAATCTCTACAAGTATCAGAGTAAAAGGTAGAAAGTATATATTAAAATAATTCTTTGGGTTTTTTCCTATGAAATTCTAAAATGACAAACTCAATTATTTTTCTCAGAGAACAAGAATTAAATTGTTGACAGCAATAATTTAGGAAAAAGCCCAATTTTTAAAATATTGGTTTCAGAAATGTTAAGTGTGGTATTGGAAACCATCATCTTTACAAGCTCTATTGTTACCTCTGCCTTTAATATTTGCAATTGTTGTAGACAATAAGCAGAATTGCATTTAAAAATTCTATCATGCAAAATCTTGATAGCACAAAGCTTTTAATTTCATGGCAGTCAGTCAGCCAGTCTGAGAGAATCCTGTCCTCATCTCAGATTCATTCACTCAGAGACTGAGAATTGCACCAAGTTCCCCCAATGCCTGCAGGTACTTCCTGCTGCAAATGAAAGCTGTTGGTGTCATCACTTTCAAATTAAATATGGGTGAGCAGCAATCCTAATTTGTGTGCTTTTTTCAATAAGGTGTTTTAAAAGGTAGAAAAATAATGAATCTGAATCTAGAAATTGGAAAAGAGGAAACGGATTATTTGGAGTGGCCTTAATCTCTTGCAGTTTTTTTTCAGATGAGGACAGATCCTCTGGGAATAATTTTTTCTATAGGAGGATATATTACTTCCTTTCATTCTCTGAAAGGAAGGAAAGCAAAGATAGCTCTTCAAAGGAAAAAGTGAAGCAGACCTTTGAGAATAGAATGTTTGACATAAGAACATTAGTGCATTAGTATGTAAAATGTTGGATTTTTCATCTTCTGTTTCAAGGTCTTTTAAAAAGAAAAGAAAGCCAAGGCACCCTTTTGAAAGAGGACAAAAAGGATATAAAAATTCTACCTTTTCCTGTCAGAACTCACAATTCAGACCATATAGGGTTATTAGATTTTTCAAACCGTTCTTAAGTCTGTATACTATTTATACTGAAATCCCCAAATCCAGCTACTAATTCTGAATTAATGAACATTGTGTTGACAGTTATTTTTTACAGTAACATTTTTCAGCATAAACTGTTTAAAAATAAAGCTATTGTGAGAGTGAATAGTTCATTGGAATAATAGTCATAGTAGTAGTAGTAATAATAATAATAATAATAATAATAATGGTGATGTTCAAGGGGAATGAATTTGGACAGGCCATCAGGATGATTAGAGGGATGCAGCATCTCCCCTATGAGGAAAGGCTGAGAGAATTGAGGTTATTTTACCTGGAAAAGAGAAGGTTCTGGGCTGATCTAATGGCTTCCAGCCTTCCAGTACTTGAAGAGAGCCTACAATAAATAATAGAGAGGGATTATTTACAAGAGCCTGGACTGATAGGACAAGGGGGAATGGCTTCAAATTGACACAGAGCAGGTTTAGGTTGGTTATTAGGAATAAATTCTTTACTGTGAGAGTGTTGAGGCCCTGGCACAGGTTGCCCAGAGAAGTTGTGGATGTCCCATCCCTGTGTTCAAGGCCAGGCTGGATGACAGCAACCTGGTCTAATGGAAAGTATCCCTGCCCATTGCATGATGTTGGAGCCAGATGATCTTTAAGGTCTCTTCTAACCCAAACCATTCTATGTTACTATGATATAAGCTTACCTGTCTGCTTCCCTTTTAGTTCTGTGGATTTTTAGCTTCATCTGTAGCCTTAGATGCATAGCAGGGAATGCATGATTCTGAAAAACATTCTTTGAGCCCATACAGTTCTGTCAGCAAATGGCATGTTGTAAAAAATAATATGGAAGCTATAAAGCTTTTTGCCTAGGAGTGTTTTATTGATAGTGCAAATGATCACAGAGATTACAAAAGATGCCTGCAAAGATGGAAGATAGCACAGCTACAGGGAAATATCCCCTTTCTTCCAAAAAGAGGACTAGGAAGTAAAGAAGCAGCTCTTCCAGCACTCAGGTGCTGCAGGTCACTTGGAACAGCAAAGCCATTGTCTTCTGTGCATCCTCTGCAACCATTTCTCTTTATCCTTCAAGGGCCCTCTCCTGGGCTGCTGCTGTGCTCAGAATGATGAAATTCACCCCTGCCATTTTATCAAGTGTGTGAGGTTGCTTTTCCATACTCTCCTCTTTCCATGCATTTATAAAGACAAGATGGGAGGAAATAACTCATTTCTACTGAAGGGGGTTATTAGTGAGGTGTGACCTCACTTCTGCACCAGAGTGGTGAATCATTTAAGAAAGGTGCAAGGTTTTTTTCTTCCTCTACCCTGATAATTCACTAAGAAGCAAATTTAGAATGAGCACATTTAGGTGCCACTGGTCTATAAAGGCAGCAGAAGAAATTCTTCATCATATAAAGGCACTCTAACCTGGCTTGGGATTGGCCTTTTCCCTCATTTTCAGTAGAAACACAAGAAAGAAAAAATTCCCTGCACTTTTAAAGTTGACATTTGAAAACATCTCACTCTCAACAAAAATGCAGAAGACTTTGCATGTTTGATGCTAGGATTAAAGAAAAAACTTGTAGTTCATTCAAAGTAATTATGTTAATCACATAAAGCCATATAGTTAAAAAATCTGCCAGTTTACAAAAATTGTTTAAAGAAATTAAGCACTTCTAAACAGAATTTTTTGAATCAGTCATCCTGAGAAAACAGTTTACTAAAATAAAGATGAGACTTTTGTTTGCTTAGAGAAAGCTCCTGTCTTTCAGGAGCTTTCAGATGTAGTTTCTTGATTTTTATGCAGGAAGTCTAAATATTATAGGAAAATTCTTGCTACTTCTTTTACTTTATGAAGCTCCCAAGAAGGTTTTACTGTCTTGCACTAAAATTTCCAGCAGAGGGAGCTTTACCATTACATTTAGTAAAATAAGCCAGGTTTGCTCAATACTTTTTGTCTACAATTTATAAAAAATTTGAGACCATTGTGCTTTTTTGTTTATGGTGTGAATTCATGACATCTTATTATGGAACAATTTATAAGGAACAGAAATGAAAAGACTTTCCTAGAAAGAACATTTCCATATGTAGAGGTACTATTTCATCACAGTTCCTTTGAAGTTGGAAAGTTCTTTTAATTTAACATAGAATATTTTTTGTCAATTCATAATCTTTTTCGTTTTTTCATAATAATTTTTCAAGTGCTTTGAGTAGGAATTCTCTCACTTTTCCTTTGTTGCCTACATGCAAAAGAAAAAGAGGCAGGAAATGAAATTCTAGGAAAACTTCTCTTTTTTTCCCAAAGAACTTCTCAGTTCAAGCATGACCTCATCAAGATTTCCAAGCTTCACAATCTTCCCCTGTAGTGATGGAGTGCCAGGGATGGACACACCAGGAATCTTTATTGCTTTGGAGAAGCTCTCATTCTTTTTCCTGGCACACACAGTCCATTAAACAGACAAAATATAAATGTGGAAAGATGATTATTCTGTCACAAGATAACACAATTATAGTGTTCTCTGTATTTATTGCAGGCCTGATTTGGTAGCTGAGCAGAATACTGAAACCAATTCTGTTACTGTTCCAGTCTCTTCTTACATACAAATTATGAGGTCTTGTCTATTATATTTAGGGCCATACAGTGTTCATGGAGCTAATGAGTAATTAAGATGAGGCTATTGTGAAAATGCATATAAATGTACAAACATTATAGTCTTGAATTGATTGCAGTCTGTAAATTCCCATACGTTTTTTTTAACTTTGCTTTGTTTACATGTGATCAGTGGATTATTTTGCATTTATGTTGGAAAATATATCACACATTGAACCATTAAAAATTCTTCTCTGTGTGTATTTCAGTGTTTCAATTCCTGTTCTTTAATTTTGTTGTATATTAATAATTGATAAATTTATTGATTAGTTGGCACATTTATTAATTGATTAATTAATTAATTTTTTATGATGTTTATGTCAGTGACCTTCCATTTGGAGAATAGAATGTAGGCTATTATATTGATAAATAAAAATATAAGTAATATAATAAATATATTTTTATAAGCAGTGTGATAATAGATAATATAATAGATATATATATAATAATATATAACTATTATATATCTATTATCTATTATCTATTATATATTATATTATGTATTGTGTATTATGTATTTAATTGTTTATATATACAATACATAATAGAATAAATATATGTATAAATAATATATGTATCAGCATATTTGTTGTTAACTTTGTCTGTTTATTTTCAGAGACAGATGTTTACACTTTTGGGCTTGGACAGTATGGGCAGCTGGGACATGGAACTTTTGTGTTTGAAAGTTCAGTACCAAAGCCTGTGAAACGCTTGAAGAGGCATAAAATTTGTAACATTGCATGTGGGGAAAACCACACTGCTGTGATAGCAGGTATGGGAGTGCAAAATTCTGGAACCACTTCTAGAACTCTCTATTGTGCTGTAAAAGCTTTCCTTATACAATGAGCAGGAGCAGACATATCCATTACTGGTTCTAAGGGTGAAATGAGCCAGTGAGAAAGGTGAATTCAACAGGAATTTCTGACTCACAGCCATGCCATGCATAACTCTGGATCTCTTGTGCAATTATAACCTCCTAATTATGCCTTGCTAACAAATATTCTTGTTTAGAAGCCATTGTTTTTCTGTATAGTTTAAATTTTGTTATTTTGTTGGGGTGGGTTTTTTTACAAATTGTGTAGACCAACATCTCCGGCAGCACTTTGTCTGAAAACATTCATATTTTTTTAATAATATTCTTCTGTTGAAGTTCTAAAAATAATTGTTCAGATTTTGCTTTTGGAACGGAAATATTTCTTATTTTCATAGCCTGTTACTTTATGATGGTTCTGTCATGGTTTTCTATTGAATCTTTGTTTTAACATCCTTTTTATTCCCATATGCAGAGAATGGCCTGATGTTTACTTTTGGAGATGGACGACATGGCAAGTTAGGCTTTGGAGAAGAGAGTTTTACAAATCTGTTTGATCCCACTCTGTGTTACAATTTCTTGAAGTTCACAGTCCTTTTGGTAAAACATTTGTTAATTTCTCTCAGAAATCATAATATTTATCTTTTTATGAAACCCATTATTAATGAGAGCTGAAATATCATTATAGAATTATTTCTTTCTGTAACATTTAATTAATGGCCAACACAGACTGAAGGAAAGAGGAAACTATCTATGCTAAGCACAGTGTTCATTTAGTTTGGAATGTCTTTGGCTTGGGCTTGACATGCAGATTCCTCTTCAGGGTTTTATTCAGTACCCTTGTGCTATGGTGTTTTGGTCTTCAGAGCTGTGGTAGCTCATAAACTGAATTATTTATTACTCCTGGATAGTTGAAAGTATGGGGAAATTTATATATTTTCTGTAAACACCAGAGAGTAATCTTTTAAATTTTGACAATTTTTTGTGCAGTGGGATATTTTTAAACCTCAAGAAAATTTGAGTTTGTTTTTTTTTTTTAATCCAAACTGGACAGGAAAGCAAGAATAGTAGTTTTTTTGAGAATTGTGTAAGGGAAGTTGTTTTCATCTGCTTCTTGAGGTGTGGAGGAAATGTCAGAGAATTGTCAGCATCAAAAATGTTAACATGACTCAAGATTGAACAAAATTTGCAACAGAAGTTTATTGATCACTTCTATTTGTTTACTGGAATTAGAGGTGAAGGAAGTTTTATTGGAAGCAGTGAGTGTTTTAAACTTTCTAAAAAGTGAAAACTCTCACCTTTATATAATAATATTGTGTCTACTGGAGGATGATGAATTTATTTTGCATTTTGCTGATTTTGTAAAAAAATAAAACATGTAGGTTTGAAACTATCAATATTGCTTTCAAGTGACTTTTATCAACATAAACAGCTAATGTCTCTTGAAAATCAGTGGAAACATCTTTGCTATATTTTATATAAAAATTTGATTGTCCTGTCTTCTGTTCAGTACAAATACATTGTGTTTAACTAAGAAGTGAACCTAGATCACTAGTCATTAATAAATGTAATTAAGTACTTTTATCTTGGTGTAATTGGGAACTAAATTTGAAGCCATTTGCTATGTCCTACTTCTACTACATTTCTTTCTTATCATCTAAGTCCCTAGACATGACTGTAAGAAAAGTGCATCCTTGATACTTGCAAATGAACTAATCAGACCTTTTTTTGAGCTGTAGGTTTCTTGTGGGGGCTGTCACATGCTGGTTTTTGCTGCTCCAAGGCCTAAAGGATCTGAAATACCCTTGGAAGATTTGTATGAGCCTCGTTTGACTGCTGCTGCCTCTCAAAGCAGAGGGGACTTTGTGCTGGCAAACACTTTGCAGTTGTCAGCAGCACGAATGCGGCGTCGAGAAAGGGTAAGCTCAGAGGTATTCAGAGTTGCAATACTTCTTTCAGGAATCAAAACCACTTTAAAAGCTAAATCACAGCATATGCCAAGCAATTGAATCTACCTTCTTAAACTAAGGGTCTAATTTTAATGTATAACATGAAAAAAAACGATTTACCCTAGTCCCAGAAATTGATGTGGGAGGAAAAAAAGTAGGTATTGGTCAGATTTTGCTTGATTATTTCTGTGAAAGAGATTCAAGTTGGGTTTGTAATTTTTTTGGGTCTAAAATGTAGAACCTGTTCCTTTGCATTTTTTTAAATTATCTTAGAAATATTTTTTTTAAAAATATCAAGAACCTGACTCTTTTGCTGTTCCCTCTGAACCCTTGAATATATTAAACAATTTCATAGTTTATAAAATATCAAAGGAGAATATTAGATGTAGCTACTTAAAGTATTACTTTCTGCTCTTTTATCTCCACTACACATTTCATGTGATTTTCTTAAATATCACAATGAATTGGATCATTTCACTTACCTGTCTGAGAAGTAACTGTACCAAAACCTGAATTAATTCCATAAAAATGCATTGATGTTGTGGATTAAATACCTTGATGTTATTTGAGAGATTAGATTTTCATTTTAGATAGAAAGAAAAACTTCTTTTTCTCCTTTGTTTATATTTTAGGATTACTTGAAATCATTCCATAGAGATGATCTTAAAAATCTCCTTATGTACCTGTCCACTTTTTAGGACTATAAATAATTAAAATTTTAAAAGATATTTGTTTCTGCTTATTAAGCTGCAACACTGTATCCCAAGCTAACAGCAAATACCACTGATTAGTCTGAGAGATTGCTTACATTTTGTTCTTCTAGCTTTTTTCTCAATTTATTGTTTTTCAATCTCCTAAAGGAAAGGTCACCAGAGCAGTTTGCTCGAATGGCACAAACTCTGCCTGCAATGGGGAAAAGCTTCTTGAAATCTTCATTGCCTGTGGCAAGCAACACCAGCCCATTCTGGTTTTCTGCAAGTCGTCCTAAAGCTGAATCTGGGAGGGATGGAGACCATGAGAAAGGTGAAGTGTCCCCACATCTTGCTGCTGTTTTCTGATAAGAATGGCTTGACTCAAAATTCATAAACAAATGTTGCAGTTTGAACCTGAAAGAAGGTTTAGATTCAGTCTTACCTCAGGACAGTCTGGCAGCATACAGGCATGAAAGCAGAGAAATGCAGACAAAAATTGCCTCACACTGTTCATGTTTGCAAAACAAGTTTAAAGATTAAGAGGAGGCTTGAGTGAAAGAAAAACAATTTGTTGATTGTACCTGTGGTTCCTTAAGCCTTCAGAAATAAGATTCACAAAAATACTGTAAGAACATTAACTACTTATTTTGTTTTCACACACACACAAAAAAAGGAATTACAGAAAAAAAGAAGTTAGGAACAATGTTAAAGACACAGGTAAGCCTACAAGGAACTTGGATAAGAAAACATAAGAAAAGAGGTCTACTAATTCTTACAGGACCTTTCTTCTTCACTTGGAAATGCAGAAGTACTCTTCACTCTTTGTTATCTAAGATAATAAGGATTTGTAATATTCCAGCTGATGGAAAAGTCTGGATAACCATAATAGAGCACTGGATTTTGGCACAGATTCTCTAGAGCAGTTCTGGACTTGTCTGGCATCCTGGGTCTGTGTGATTTCCTAGAAAGAACAATGCTGAAGAGTGCAGGATGCAAAGCTTCTGTGTAACTGTTAGTTCAGATTTACTGGACAGCCAAATCTAGTTTGAAAGTAATTCATTCATAGAGTGAAGGTGGTTATTTTTAAATCTGCCAGCATGTCCAGTAGCATTTCTGGTTCCAGGAAAGCAATCCAGTGAAATTTGAATTTCCTTTAGAGTTTTCTTAGACCTAAAACCTCAGGTTTTGTGCTGTACAAAATGGTCATAGACCTGATGAGCTTAATGATGTAGGGACATTTTTATAATGCTGCATGAAACTCACTGTCTCTCCATCTATAACACAGATAAGGTGCAATGGATATAACACAACTGCAGCTACTTTGGTCTAATTGCTACACTATTATTAAAAAGATTATCCAAAAGAATCTCTCTCCCAGGTAATATTTAGGCTTTTAAAGCCTGCAGAAATGGTCAGAGATCTACAGTGCACTGTACCACTGTGCAACTCACCAGATTGCTGAGCTCCCTCTGTTGTTAATGATGAAAGGAGATGGAAGTGGTTTTGCTGTGTCTTGGGCTGGGGGAGTGAAGAATCTGAGGAATTCAGTTCTATGTTACTAAAATAGGAATAATCTCTATTTTATAAGATTGGGGTGTTCTGTTTGCTATACAGTGCTTGTTCCTGTGACATTTGTTTATTTACCCCTGTTTTACCTTGTAGAAAATAATCATCAAAAAGATAAACCTAGTGAAGACTCTTCAGAACAAGATTCAGATAATGAAAATATCGACAGAAACCTTGGGGATACAACTGACATCCTAAATATGGTAATACATTCCAGTAATGGATCTATAATTCAGTAATTTTTTGCAGGGGAAGACAAAGAAACTGAATTGTGTTCCAGGTTCTAATGCAGAATTCCTGACTACCAGAAGATCATATGTGACACACATCATACTGATATACTGTTAGACGAGCATGCATTTTGTATCATCATCACCCAATGCTAAAATATGTTTTAATTATCAAGGTAGTGTTGTGATATGAAGCAGTCCAAGTAATGCAGTGCCTCCCCATGCTTTAGCTCTGGAAATCAGAAAGGAAAGGAAAAGGATGCTGGAGGCCACATGGTGATCTCTATCTCTGACCTTGCTTTTCTTGATGATTTCCAACAGAGAAATGCAGGAAATGAAGCAGAAGAGCATCTTTTCCTGTTTGAGAAAAGGTTTTTTAATACAGGTGGATCATATTAAAGAGAAGGTCAAAATCCAGACATTTTTATTATTTGGTGATCCCCCAGCTTGTTCCTACATATTTCTTTTATTTAAAAAACATGTTCACCTTATCACTTGTACAACTTTCCAAAACATTTTGTTCTCTCAGCAGAAGGAACATGTCCTGGCCTTAATGCAGCCACAGTTATGCTGGAGGGATTGAACATCTACAGGAATTATTGTTTGTTTGCATTTAAAAGTACTTAGTAATTTAACAGTTTGTTTGTCCATGCCATTTATTTAACATTATAAAACTTCATTTTGATTTACAAGAAAAAAATGTGATCAGATCCAATGCACAGCATGGCCTCCATTAATTTACTGAAGCATTATTTGCATGTTGCACACTTTATGTGCTAGACTTCCTTCTCTTTTTCAGTTTTATACCTGTCCTGAATCAATTTTAAAACATGTAAAAAATTTTAAACATAAATTTGTAAAAAAGCCTATCAGGAAAACTTGCCAAAATACAAGATAAATGGTTCCTCTTCTTGGATCTGAATGAAAACAATCTGCTACAGCATAGTTTTTTTCAATTTTCCTAGACTGTGGCAACATACATCTTATTGACACATGTGACAAGAGGAGGAAAAACCTTTAATGTTATATTGATGATACAAATTATTGAGAGTCTGAAACCAGAACTCTTCATGCTCACTGTGTTGAAAAAGAATATAGTTAAACCATGAGCAGTTAATAATCAACAGCAAACAATATTATTATACTGTGATTTGGAATATATGGCAAGTGATGAGCAAAATTTCATTATATATTCCCACTCAGTAGTATTTTTTGTTGCCTTTTGATTTCTTGCTTTATGTGGAAGAGATAAAAGCATTAGGTTCCAAGGAAAAATTCTGCTGTGCAACGTTTCTTTGAAGATGTTCTTTCAAGGCTGTGGTGCCAAACTGGATGTGGAGTTTAAGTTTGTGATGATAATGAAGTAAGGTTCTATTTGTAACCTCACAGGGAAGGTGAGGTTATATGGGCTGGAAGGTGGATCTCAAACATGTCTGTAGTGTTCAGTCTCTACAGGCAGTTTAGGTGTTAACATTTGTTCACCACACTCTTTATAAGCAGTAAATGATGGAGTGGAAGTGAAATAGCTGAGTTGAATGATCATACAGGTTTGTCTCACCCTGACTGTGCATAATATTAAAATATTCATAAACTAGCTCTGTTTAGTGAAACTGGGCTTTGATGCTGCTTTCTGTATTAAATATATTTATTTTTTTAATAGAGATCCTATTTTTTGCAGACACATGCAATGAAGCTGAATCCTGGTGACTGGTCCTTAAAATTATCACCGCTCCAAAAACAGAAGGTACTGTAACTAATTACATATTTTATATTGATACTGATGTTTAAAAATCTGCAATTCTTGTATTGTCCTAGTACTTCATTATTTTGCTTTGAATTTTTTAAAAAGTCAGGCAGATTTTATAGACCTCCTCTTGCTAATTTTCTGAATATCCATGACCTAAAATTCTAAGAAGCTGCATGAAGGCAGAGAGAATTTGGCAGGCACCTAGAACTCCACATATCCAGTGCAGTTTGAGATGAGTGTGTAATATTTCACCAATTTAAGAAGCAAGAGGCTATTATATACACCTTGTAACTTCATGTGATAACATAAATTTCTACTGGTTTGTTGCTAAGAAAATATTTTGGGACACAGTGTAAATAAAGATTTTATTTACAGATATTCATGAAGTATATTTAAAGGAGCAATAATGCTGGTCTTAATTATGAAATTAAAGTACTTTATAGTGCTTTCTATTTCATTCCTAAAGTGATCCCATCTTTTCAGCACTTTGTTATATTTCATTACAATTTTATTTTAGATTTTTAAATTCATAATTTGTTAAATAAGTGTAAAATTTAAAGCAGAATACAACATATTTTAAAACTTCTTAGAAAGGGCATAACAGTGAGTGCATTAGAAGGTTTCCAAAGGAGGAAGGTGTAAGAGAACTATGAATTTCCTTCTGCTTGCATAGCCTCATGCATTGCCCCTGCTCTGGTTTATGGCATGTGGCACTGGCTGCACAGTTCCTGCTGCATTTCCTTGGGTAGTGGGAAAGGTGTAGCACTACACTGATCATTACCAGGATGTTGCATTCTTCTAATATGTGCACTTGTAAATTCATTTCATGTGAGATACTCTGCCTTTTATGCTGTCTTTTAATCCCCTCTCACAAATTGTTTCTTTTCTTGTTCAGATGCTTTTGTAAACTTTTTCTTTTGCTGCCATTTGTCTTTAATGCTTTTTTTCTTTCTTTTTAATTTTCTGCTTCTCATGTGGAATAGAAGAACAATAAAAATGTGAAACTGAAAAGAGATGGTAAGGGTGGGCTGAAGAACAAGGATTCTGATTTCACAAAGGAGGGCTCAAAATTAGAGTCTGGCTCTTTACAAAAGCAGTCTTCACTTTCAGAGTCAACTGGACAAGATTTAGAAAAGAGTAGTGCCTTTGTAGGGAAACCTGTGGCCAGAAAAAGTATAAAGAAAGGTATATCTGAGCATGCACAAAGTGATAGTACTTTGAAAAGTGGTGCTCAAGAAATTACTGAGGATAAAAGCATATTAGTGAAAAGGGAAAAAGAGTGTGTGGAAAATCCTGAATTTTTCAGAGAGGATGCAAGATATAATCTTCCCACTGAAAATCAAATTCTGACTGAAAAAATAAATTCTTCCAATAAAAAGCCAAAAGCTATTAAATCTAAGCAGTCCCTTAAAATAGAGGTACTTCCTTCTGCTCCCAGGGATCAGCCCCAGGCTGATTCATTAATTGTACAAGAATACAGCCCTGTTAAAAAGCAAGGGAGTCAAAAACCAGCAGATAGTCAAAACAAACTAAAGGATGGTGTTGAAAAATCTGACAAGTGTGAAAGCATAAATGTCACAGGAGAAGAAAGTAGTGCAGAACAGAAGGAGCTTAAGAAAAAGCATCAGTTTTTGAAACAAGTATCTGTAACTTCATCATCATCAACTGAGGAAAGTACTAATGACCTCCAAAAATATATACTTAAGGAAGAGGCCTTCTATGAACACAGAGTTGTCCACAGGGCAAGGAGGAGAGTGACACATCTGGACTCAGAAAAAGGCAGTGAGATTGAGGAGATGCAAGCTACAAACAATGAGAAAGAACGTGTAGAACAGACTGATTTAAAAAGCCTGAATGAGGAAGAAACAAGCTCTGATGATAAACCTGATGAAGACAGGATAGTAGAAATTAAGAATGAGGAGGAATCCAATCAGGAGCAGGAGAATGAAAGCAGTGAAAAGGATGAAAGTGAGAAAGAAAAACTGGATGAAACAATTGACAGTGAAGGTAAACTAGGGGAGGAAGAAGAGAGTGAGGTTAACAAAGACGGAGATGAAGTTTCAGTGGAAAAAGATGAAGAGGGAAAAGATAATGAGGAAGAAAATGAGCAAGAAGAATCACAGGCTGAAAGAGAAAGTGGGAATGAGGGTGCAGAGGAGAATGAGGAGCTCAGCCAGCAAGATGGCAAAGAGCAAAGAGATGAGCAAGGCAGGTTGGTGGAGGAAGAAGAAATGGTGAGCGAGGGAGAAAGGGAGGATATGGAGGAGAAGTATGAGAAAGAGGAAGGCACTGAAAAAGACAAAGAGCAGGTTAAAAGTGAGGGAAGAGATGAGAGTGAGGAAGGAGAGGAAGATACAGAGGAAGGGGAAGAAAAAGAGGTAGAGGCAGAAGAGGAAGGAGAAGATGAAAAGGAAGATGAAGAAGAAAAAGAAAGGGAAAATGGAAAAGACAAAGAGGGTGAAGAGGAGGAGTTGGGAGAATCATTGGCAGGGAGGGAAGAAGAGGTATCTGAAGAAGAGCAGGCTGAGGAAGATGCAAATACAAAACCTAAGGAAGTGGGTGAGGATGGAATGGAAGAAGAAAAAGATGGGGAGGATGAAGTGGAAGAGGAAAGAGGAGATGAGAAAGAGGAAGGAGCAGAGGCAGAAGCAGAAGCGGACAAGGGGGAAGAAGATGAAAAGGAAGAGGAGGAGGGGAAAAATGAAGAGAAAGGGGAAGATAAAGAGGGAGAAGGAGTGGAAGAAGATGAGGGAGTAGGAGAGGAAGAAGAGAGTGTTGGGGAAGATGAGGGAAAAGAGGGAGTGGATGATGAAGAAGAGGAAGATGAGGAGGAAGAAAAAGGAGTGGAAGAAGGGGGAGATGAGGAAACAAGAGAGGAAGAAGAAGAGGTAGAGGAGGGGGAAGAGGCAGGACAGGAAGAAGGAGAAGGAGAAGGGGAAGAGGAGGAAGAGGAAAAAGAGGAAGAGGGTGAGGAGGAAGAGGAAGAGGAAAAAGAGGAAGAGGGTGAGGAGGAAGAGGAAAAAGAGGAAGAGGGTGAGGAGGAAGAGGAAGAGGAAGAAGAGGAAGAGGGTGAAGAGGAAGAAGAAGAAGAGGAAGAGGGGGAAGAGGGTGAGGAGGAAGAAGAAGAAGAGGGAGAAGAAGAAAAAGGGGAAGAGGGTGAGGAGGAAGAAGAAGGGGAAGGGGGAGAGGAGGGAGAAGATGAAGAGGAAGAGGGGGAAGAAGGAGATGAGGAGGAAGGGGATTTAGGAGAGGAGGAAGAAGAGGATGAGGGAGAAGATGAGGATGAGGAGGAAGAAGAAGAGGAAAAAGCAAAAGATAAAAGGAAAAATTATAGTAGTAAACTTCCAGAAAAGAAAAGCAAACCCAGGAAGCCACAAAAGACAGAAAGTGCTGCTTTACCAAACAGCTCTAAACAAAACGTGAAATCCAAACGTCATGTAGCAAATGGTTTACATAATCCAGAACAATTTTGGAACAATGTGCTACCTCATTATTTAACACTAAAGTAGCATAGACTACTGTAGATGAATTTTAAGCCTATTCAGGAAACAGATCAATTTTTATTACTTGAAGGAATCTTTTCATGAAATCAAAGCAAACTGTTATGCATATAATTTAAGTGCCAATGTCTTGAAAAAGACTGAAGAAAATGTTTGGATTCAGGATACTTTTATGAGAGAAATCATACTTTATTGATACAATCATTTTCACAATCATGTTTATCATGTATGATATATGAAACATTAATTGCTGAGGAGGTAAATTGCGTTCGCCTCTTAATCAAAGTGTAATATGCTGACAAATCAGTTATAAATTGTAACAGTGTAATCTTTGCCTTTGAATCAGCAACACACCAATTTTAGTAGCAGGGCAGTTTACTGATAATGTGCCTTACTTGAAGGGAGTTTCTGTAAATTAGCAAAGGTACATATTTTAAAATTTTGGTATCACTCTGTTGTAATTGAGTGACAATACAAAGCAACACACTCCATTTTCAGAAGGCTTCAAAGCTGTTTTTATTATAGCATGCATGCTTTTTATACATTCTTACAAAACTCCTAAGTTTACACTTTACTCATTGGTCATGAAAGACAAACAAAGTGCTTATTGGAATAGGCAGTTGCAGGTTTCTCTTATTTATCCTTCTTTCTTTCTTGGTTTCTATGTCAACAACCTTGGTAGGAAATTCTTTCGGGGTAAACATGGATCCTCTTATCAAACTTCTCTCTGGCTCTCTGTAAAACCTCTTCCACATCACTCCATAATTTATTCCCCCCACTTTTATTCTGTTCATACATTGGTAAAATGTTCAAGGACCTAAATTAAAGAAAGGACAAGTTGCCAAATTTATGTGGGTCAGTGGATGGAAGGTAAATGGAAATGCAGGCCTGGGTAAGTGATGGCCTGGGACTTTCCAAAAGCCTTAAGGCTGACTTCTTATTTGCTGTCAGCACATAATTCTGTGCAAAAAGACACACACAGATCTCAGAATCTGGCCTAGATTACTTTAGAGTTCAGGGATAATTTTTTGAGTATCACACTTGGTGATTGGATAGAACTAAGAATTTGAAATAAACACTCCTAAAACATTTTTTATGTGTTTATACTGTGCAATACACAAAAGATTCTATATCTGCCTACAAAAGACTACATTACATAAGTCCTCTAACTCTGAGGTATTCCAGGAGGGGGAATATATGTTGTTGCTGTGTGAAACAGATATGTTTCCAGGATCGGAGCCAAAACTTCTCCTCATTGGAGAATATTTATGGTTTTTAAAAACCCTATCTGTAATCTCCAAAAAGAGGCAAACCAACAAGCCAGATGGAATAGTAACAAAAGTGGTAAGAAAGTCTGATTTTTTTAAAGACAAAGTTAATATTTTAGAATTTCCTTAAAATACACAAACAAATCTTGCAAATTATTTTTGTAAGATAATGCATCACTCTTTCAACCATTAGAGACTGAACTGGCAAATGAAGAGATAGGGACTCATCATGCAGAATTGTTACTTGAATGTTACGCCAGTGGGGGGTCTGGGAAATTTTTGCAAACAGATCTCAATATTGACATTTTCTAGAAAAACAGTTGTTTAAGCCCTACTTGTAAATGAGGAGAGAAGAAGAAGGGAATCAAAATGAGTAAATGTCATTCAATAAAAACATGGATGGAATCAATACTTACGTTGATATCCTGAAACATTTTATTATTGTTTTGTAAGATGCTGGCATTAAACAATCTTTGACATGATGTCTCCAGAATTTATTTTCTACAAAGCCTGTAGTAGATCAGTAGTTTGCCAGTAAATCCTAGTCTAGGTCCAACCTTCCTGCCTCACTCACCCCTTCCACATGCTGCATTTGAAGGTAAGATCACTTCAGGTGTGCTGTGCCTAACTACAGCAAAATGTTACCCCAGTGGCTGTATTTTGTCCCTGTGAAATTTGTTTCAAACTTTGGAATTCTCTGGAGCACATTGTCTTGACATCAGCGTGTGTCTTTGGAGCAGGGTAAGTATCCTCATATTCTGTTAGAGAATATTTAATCAGTTTAGTGCCCTTCCCAAGCTCTCTCTAACAATGGAGTCATTGGATATTTTGCCAGTGTGCTATCACTGAACTCCTCTGAAAACTCTTCCCCTTGAAACTAAGTGGAGCTGTGATGTGTTATTTTATCTTTCTTAGAAAGATTCGGATGTTACTGTGATTAAACTTAGTAAGTTTAGTAGTATTGAAAAGTATTTTTATAGGCCTAAAACTGGGTTTCTTGGATATGGCATCTACTTCTTTATGGTTCTAGAATTCATCATTGGAGGAAAACTGGGCTGTGAAAAACAAAACAACACTGTTTTTTCTAGTAAAAAATATTTCCTAGAGAGAAAGAGAGAAAAAAAAAGAGAGCATTTTAAAGCAAGTGATTTCCAATTCCACATAGGAATGGCCCTTCATTTACTGTTTGGTTGCAGCATTTAATGTAAATTCTTAGGAAAATGAGGACTATTTGTTTTTTCTCTCTTAGCATATGCTGATAGCAGAAAGCTTTCCAAGAAAGTGAAGGAAGGCAGCTTATGGTCATCTCCTCTTCTTTGTTTTGTCTAGATTAAAATTCACTGATTTGAGAACTGTTTTTATGTAGTTTTGTGGATCATTCCTGTGGTGGGGGAAGAGCAGAGCTTTACTCCAGCACTTCTAAGGGTTTTCCACAGGCTCATTACATAAATTGGGCTCTCTGCCAGCATTTCTGGGCTTTCAAGGGACTTTGAAACTCCATTAGCATAATGAGTGGAATTTCATTTAGTTTGACTCATTCTGGTTTATGAAGTTTGCTACTTGTGGTTTCCTGAAAATTCATTATATCCTTGGTATTTATTATGGCATACAAAGAGATTTATATGCAGTACTGAAGTAACATGGCAGAAATAGTTCTGATTAGTTTTTAATAGAGAAAAGAAATCCTCCATTAGAGAGAGAAAACAACAGACAATTGCCCAGACCAAAGAACTATCCATCTCTTTTCTACCAGTGGCTGCTGGTGAGTACCTGGGAAAAAAAATCAATTTGAATATTGGGTAGCACAAACATGTAGTGTTACTTCACCCCTGTAATCATTCAGTATAATGAATATATTCAGCATTTTCAATAATTTGTAGTTTAGCAGATACATGTATTACTTTTAACATCCATTTTCTTCACACGAATTTCTTTCAATCAATTTTTAGCCTGTTTAGCATGTTTTGGAAAATAATTCTTAGATTTCTTTATACATTGTTTGGAGAAGTAACTCCTCTTTTTAATTTGCATCATTTGATGTCTTTGTATTCCTGTACTAGAAAAAAGAGCACTTATTCCCTCTTCATTATTTATTCCCTAATGACCATCATGTGGAAAAAGTGTTCAGTTCTGTGCTTTAAGTCAAGAATAAGTGGTTTATTGATTTATTAATTAAAGTTAACCATCAATCAATCACCTACATGTTTAATTCAAGAGCAGCAACACTGGACATCTTCAGTGTTAATAAGCACATGCAAATTTCTAGGCATCCCCTGCAGCTCATCTCAGAGGTTTTAATCCCCTGCACAGTCTCACAGAGATTCCCAGAATTACAGATGCTGCTTTTTACAGTGGGTGTGCAATACAAACACCTCTGGCATTTTCAGAGGGTGGGGTGCAGGTCTCCTGCTGTCTCACAGCTCTGCTTAGAGGGGAGGATGCTCTGGGTGACCTTGGAATATTCTGTAGCACAGCTCTTCTCTTGTGCCTGCAAAATTTCAGCAGATAAGTTTTTCCATTATAGCTGAACATATCAAAGCATTTGTTCAGATAGTAGATCTCTGTGCATAATTGATGCTGAATAACAAAAATGTCCTTCTCCAAGTTACAAAAATTGTCTAGGTTTCACTCATTAATTTTTGTTCCAGCTTCTTATCTGGATGACCACATGGAGATTCTTTAGAACAGGGCCTTTCAGAATTTTGCTGAAAGGACATCTAGTTTTTATTTTCAGTGCTCTTAGGATTTTTTCCCTCCTAGTTTTTCCTTACCATTTGCTATCTTTTAATATAAATTTTAGCTTATTTTCTCCCAAGATGACACTACCTTTTAGATCCTATCTGTCATATAACATTAAGGATCTGTAAAAAGGCCAAAAAAGGGCAAAGTAAATGTGAAAGGGTAATTTTTCATCTAATTGTGGAAGTGACAGTGTTTAGTACTGTGGCATTCTATGAACAAATGAGCAAATTCTTTGCTTGCAGAAACAGCAAACCCATGGTATTGTGCTCAGTAAAGTTCTGGGCATGTTTGGGATCCAAAGTCACTCACTGAGCTGTAACATTCTTATACACTTATTTATGTTTTAATGGAGACAGAAGAGGATTGAAAGGATATTGAAAGGATTTTGGAGACACAGCTTTGGCATCAGAAAATTGCATTGCAGACAGCAACAGAAGTTTTATTTTTCTATTGCCAAAAGAAGAAGCAAGTACACTTAATCGCTCTCTTTTTTAAGTATTTATGATAGTGCTCATTGCTTTTTTGCCTGTCAACCTGTGCTATAATAATTTAAACAAATATTAATACTGCTATCTCAAACCCCCATGCTTAGTTATGAAAATAATTTTTACCAGGGCCCTGAAATGTCTGGTTTAAAAATATTTACCATTCTGGTTTTCTTACTTCTCCAGCATTGAAAAATCAGAAATGACTCTTTACATCTGTGATGGGTTGCAGGGCTGTCTGCTGGAGTGTCCCAGGTTCAGTGGATTTAGAGCCTTATAATTTGACTGGCACACCTTTCACACAGAGTCTCATTTGTGGTTTGTGTGAAATTTGACATATTTGTGCTGTCATATGGAGAGTGTGTGAGAGAGAAACAAAGGTGGCTCTAAGAAGAATTTTATATTAAACAAAGCCTTTATCTCTTTTGTAAGGCTGTAGATCACAATAATATTGAAGAGTAATGTTCAATCCCCCCTGTGTACTATTGTTAGTTCAAGAGCCTGTGCTGTTTGACTGGAAAGTGAGCAATAAATACCAACCTAAAAGGAGCTTGTGAGCCAGCCTGGCAGAGCCTGGCTGTCTTACAGGAAGTATAAAATACTTCGCTTTCATTCAATCCAGCCTCTATCCAAGGCACAAAACTACTTTCATAATTAGAAACACAGCAGCAGAACTGCTGCAAAATTTAACCTCTTTTACAAGTCACTTCATTATCATCAGTGTGGAGAAAAAGGACAAAGCAAACCTGAACTGTCCTGTATCAAGGGTACAGAATGAAATCAAGCTGTGCTGTACAGCCAGCCTTGCAGTGGCTGAGGGAGAGCTTCCACAAGTGCTGGCAGGGTGTGGAGAACAATTCCATGGGGAAACTGATGGCACTTGCATTGCTGAGCTGGGTGTGCCTTGAAAAATCTATGAAATGAGAATGGGCTTAAAGATTAGTGATGGTTGTGTAAAAATTACCAATTTACATCAGATAATTTTGAAGTGGGGGCTCTTCCCTGAGACCCAGTCTTGCAGTCTGTGGAGGTTTTAGCAGTGACTCATGGACCAGTTCTTTGAGGAATGTACCAAGTCAGAGAATGTCAAAAATCTTCCTGCAAACCTTCTTTGGCAAAAATTTGCCTTTACCAGTATTTTTATCAAAGCACTGAATAAAAAGCAGAATTATTACAGCAGGATTTTAATGAAAAGTACAGGATTTGGGAAAGACATGGAGTATCTGAGCTATGTGCACAATAAAAGCAGAAAGAGTGACTGTCCTCATTCACTTGCAAATATGTGAGAGCTGCATGACAAACTCCAGACACTACAATTTTTTCTAT